ATTTCAAAGCAAACGTAAAAGAAGAAAGTTAAATGCACAGATATATAGATACTACGAAGCACAATGCGCATAAATGAAAAGAACGAGCGACGTTTCTTTATATGAATCAATATTACGTGAAATTTTATCGTACGATTAAATATATATCAGCTTTGAAATGATCGATATCGATAAATTTATGTAATGTGTGCAAGAACAAATTTGCTATAAGACAAATCGTCGACTCGCTTAGATCGTCGATTTAAGATATCCGCGAAACTTCAATTAATCTTTGGAAATGTATCTTTGCATAGTCTGCACATTTTTACACATTTCAATTTCTCGTGAATACGTAAGAATCCAATTATTGTACAAAAGGACGTTGCAATCCTCGTCGATCGAAAGTCTGCTTGTCGATCAAATATACGAATAAGGCTGAGTAGTCCGGGTTGTCCTCCATCAGGATTCAAGAGAGAGAACGGCCGGGACACGGAGATTTAGGTGCGTCGTTAAATGTCCCGGGCAAGATCAACATTTGCCTTTCTTCTTCCGCGTGTTCTCTTGCTTCCCTGCAGAGAGAAGGCCATTCGTTCTTTCGTTTCCTTTCGCTAGGACTGCTTCAGAAAATTTTTCTTTCCCCGGGGTGGAAAAGAAGTTGCAAGGCGACCCTCGCGCGTCGATCCGCCATATTTACACAGGCTCGACAGTCGAGAACGAGTTCTCGCTAACGAAGACGAAATTTAACGAACATCCAGACCTTCTGCTCCCTTTTTTTCTTCCGAACGGATGATCGAGCTTGCTAACGACCACGAGCTGCTTCCAAGCCGAAGAAATCCTTTCGACGAACCCATCGACGAGCCTTCGATGCTCGCCAGCAACCAGGTTGGCGTGACTGATAATTCTCCGCGAAAATGGTACGCGTTGGCAACCTGCCACCAGCTGGGACGATGTTCAGCGAAATCTTCGCTGTTAAATACCCGGCGATGAAATCTTCGAGTCATTCTCTCGAAGCGGTTTAACCTTCCACTGATTTGCAATGATTACCGAAGCAACCGTTTCACGCGTTACCGAGAAATTTCACGAAGAAACCTTTCTTGCGTACGCTCTTGACCTGTTGACCGGGTCATTCGTTAATTCGAAGCTGCTGTTATATCATAGAATCGAAAAGTATGGTAACAAAGACAAATGCGTTCCTGTTAGATTGGTTTTGGTTCGTGGGAATGTAAGTACTTCTTGCACGGAATATAATTTATTTTTAGGAGAAACGAAACAAAATGTAACAAAATAGAAGGTCGCTATATGTAAAAACTATTACATACAAAAGAGATACCCTTTAGTTATAAACCATTAGCTGTTTCAACGTTTCTGCTGTAGTAAATTCTTATAATAAGTTCTTTAAGAGCTCTAATTTCAATATAAAATAATTGAAAACAGCATGTCCAATTCGAAGATGTAAGTCTGTTAAAACTATCCAATAAGTTGAAGTTTCGCGAAATTTAGGAAACCAGAGTTGCAATTATTATTAACGAGCGATATTTTCGCTTCCTGTAAAAAATAGGAAATTTATCGTACCGCGTTTTCCCCGCGTAGTCTTCTTTTTACGTATATGTTAATCCGATGACAATAATCTGATGAAACGGGATAATGTGGAATTCAATTCAGCGTTGCGCCTAAAGAGTCCCATAGAGAACAGCAAAAGCATTTAGTTTGTGAACGAACCTCCCTCGGAACCAGCCAAAAGAATTCAATCCACGGATTATGGTATCCACTTTATCAAGACCAGGCTCGTGTGCAAATTGGTAGAACGCGAAAAAACCGTGCGGCAAAGCTGGAACATACTTGGAAGGCTCGAGACGGCTGGCCGTGCATCAACCAGGCAGATCGTTCGCTTTGTCCCTCTGTGGCTCGGCCGTTTTTCTCCCTTTCGGTGGCTTTTTTCAGGGCTGATTCTCAGCCACACCCCCGTACGTCAGAGACGTTTTAAACGGGGACCAGACACGCTCGCGCAACTCGGTACTTTGGTCCGAGGCCTTTAATTTGGCACGTGTTCCACTCTTGGCTATTGTTGCCATGATTGTTGGGTGGATCACTCTTTCCTCTCGCTCTGTCTGTGCCCGTCTTCCGCCCCCTCTTTCGCCGCTGGTTTTTGCGGTAAACGGCGGATGCTGGTAATGCACCGGCCCGCGTCTGTAGCCCAGTGCATGCCCGGCACGTGTTTCGTTTCTTCGTGGCCGTTTTTCGCGCTGCGGGCGACTTTCCATCGGAACGAAACGTTTCCGACAAGTTGAACGCGTCTCTCCTGCTCGCGATACTCCGAGCATCCGTGGAGCAGCACAGCACGCGAGTTCACCACCGTCGGGGATTCGAAATCGAGAGATCGTTGAACGTTAACCCGCGTTTGGGTCACTGAGTGTTTGGGTAGCTACAGTGACCACAAACAATGGTACTGACGCGTACTCTTATTTTATAACGAAGCGTTTTTCTTATCAGGTTCTATATAGATGTTCCACTTTCGTCGTATCAGATTTTTGTAGCCTTTTATGCAAAATTCGAAGGTGCAAAAATGGATGAAATATATCCAGTATAACGTATATTTAATAATCAAATTTTTCTACTCGTACGACCGTATGAAAGTAAAATTATCTGTAAAATGTATAAAATACCCGGGTATTTTAATCGTTCAACAGTCGCGAGGATTTTAGTTGAGTGTGCAAAAATTGAACAAATTGTTGATTTACTTTAATTGAATTCTCCCAAGGAATCGAGACGATGGTCGAACTTTGTTGCTCGAAGTTTCTTCCTCCGTGTCGTATAGTGGATAATAAATTACAGAACGCCTTTTAATTTAGCGCGCGAATCCTTCACGGAGAAGCATTTGACCCTCGTTGCCCTGTCGGATGCATTCTACTCCAAATCATTCATCGACCCAGCGAGGAATTGCCCAGCCGCTTGACGAATAGCGTGCAGACGATCGAAGTCGAGAGTGGTTCACATTCGACTCGTTTTCGAACCGTGCGATCGAAACTGGGCCACTCATTTACCTTAATAATGCTTGGCTGTTGGTCGACTTTCGTTTTTCACAGCGACTGGTTTTTCGCGACCTTGCTCGCGATTTCGTACGATTAACGGTTTGTGCATCGTTTAGTAATCGAGGTAAAGAAGCCCCTAAATGTTCAATCAACGAAGCCCCCAGAACGAGCGGCCAAAAAGCAACTTCGATGGAATTTAATTTTTAAAGATTCTGTCGGTGATTAGATTTTATTATTGCTTTATCTATTCTTTCATTTTAAGTTGCCCTATTTACGTAATCAAGAGAATTTCATATCTTTATTGTTTAAGAGCAAACTAAAATGTATAGTATTCTCCGCTACATAGAAAGATTCTAACTTTTACGCTCTGGGTATAACACGATATTCGTATAACGCGTAACAAATTTCCCATATGGCAGAGTTCCATTATTTGTGTGACGCTTGCGACGACAACGATCCAGTCTCCCTTAAACTCTAATGAACAATTATCAATGCGTTGACTGCAACGATAATCGTCGATGACCAATCTGTTATTAAAATTTTTAGAACGAATAAAATGAGAGAAATTTCGTGTATTAAAAAATTCTCAACGAATTGAACGTCTCGGATACGTCTATGTGACGCGTATTGTCAGAGAAAAGGTGCGCGAACACGATATAATATCTCGCGAAAATGAAATATTATGTCACGATGTATCTCAATCTATCGCAATATACGTAAAATTCGCGTGACAGTCAACGTGTTTATTAATCATTATACGAACGTGTCTTTAATTCCTATGGTTGCAAACTGGGACGAGGAATGAAACCGTACGAAAGAAGCCTCGCTCCGCGGATGCGACCCACGAAGAGAACGTACGAGGCCTGTCGGCCAGCAAGATAAAGAGTGGCGCGTATACAAAGAAAACCTGCTGGCACGCAGCGCGTGAGGAAGAACGATGGCGAAATTCCCCGCGAACAGTCTGTAAATTCCAGGCTTTACTGCCTGTCGTCGGTGAAATCGAAGCATATTATTTTAGCGCCGGATGATCCTCAACTCCCGCGCAAGACACATGCAAGAGGGCCTAGGGAACGAAGACGACGTCTTTCGTTGCGCCTAGAATAACGTTCGCCGCGAGAGGAATTCCCTTCGAGGAGGAAAGCGATTGAAATGCGTTTTACGAACGACCACGCGGCGAAATATCGACGTGGATAACGTGGACGATGGAAAACGTTTCAGGTCGGATTTCTCGATCGTCTTTATTACTTCCGAAGCTACCAGAAACCGCGTTCCCCTGGAACATTCTTCGATTTAAGGCTTCGGTGGATGCGTTTTCTGACGAACAAAGCATCGAGCTATATCGGTTCTTACGAAAGAAAATACTATTTTCCAGATGTTTCACCAATTCGTCCGAATATCTGGTCGTGCAATATCTGATCTGAGCAATTCTCGATGTGGCGATTGTAAAGAGCAATAACGGCGGCAGCAATTGAGACAAACGAATTCTTACAAATACATATAGAGTGCATATGCTTGTAGGGATTCGTTCGCTGGATGAAATTCGTCAGAACGTATTCATCGTTCGAGCAAGTTTGATTGGCCTCGTCGATCGAATTGGAATAAAATGGGTGTGGGAAAACGAATTTCTTCGATGCACGAAAATAAGCATTGATGAGATCTGGAAGGGAAGATCGCAGTGAGAACGACAGCGCGTCAAAACGCGCATTCGCTGTAATCATAGCTTTATTCGATAGCGATAAAACGGTAAGGGGAATAAAATCGAATAAAATCTGGCAGAGAGGATTCCCATCGCCATGTCTTAGCGCGTTAATCGGTTCAAAGCGGGAAACCTTTACAACGAAGTGGTTTCGATTTGGTTCGAAGCGTTCACTCCACCCTGGGTCTCTGCCCTTGTTGCATGAAAATAGAGTGTGTTTAGTAGAACGGGGGTGGCGGGCCGTTTTTCCAGCGGGATGGGTTTTCGATTAATTCAGGCTGTGTGCTGGTTTGCAGGAGCTGAAGGAAAGCTTCAATTACGGCTTGTTCTGCCCGCCCGTGAATGGAAAAGCCGGAAAATTCTTGGACGAGGAACGTCGCCTCGGCGATTATCCCTTCAATGGACCCGTCGGCTACTTGGAGGTAAGACACCTTTCTTTACCTTAGTTCTGCTCGCGACAGCGCAGCGTGTTCTTCGCCGACTATTGCTGGCTTAAAGGACAACGACCATATCAAACAGCTGCACGATTTATAAAAGTATTCCAACACATACTGTAGAAAAATTTTAGGTATATATTACGTACGTTATATAAAAAAACATTTTGCAACTCCATTTATTAATTTAAAATATTACAGTATGACAGTATTTGTAACGAGACACGACCGTCATCGTCGTGATTATATTGATATTTGAAAATAATCTGAAAATGTACGTAAAAGTTGTAAGACATTTACCGCAAGCCTATTTAGTAAAAAGATTGGTATACAGCACGAAGAACCGTGTTGAATTTTAAAGATGATTTCATCGGATATCGAGGCTTGTTAATATAATGAATTAGCTTTATCAAGGTCTTAAAGCTTCGAGCTTAGCAGGTTCTTTCATTTTCAACTATGTCGTATTAAAATACTCCTTTGTAATTATAAAATGACATTAAAACCAAAAAGTCAATAACGCCGTACTTGCCAAGTCTCTCTTCCGTGATCTTCAAACTTTGTACAATCTGTACCTATTATTATATAATCATTATTAAAAGAAAAATCCTTCGTGAATGGGTTAAAATATCACTATTTGGTCGAAAATTTTCCCATCTTGTAATACGTACAGCACGAATGAAATAACCAGAAAATAAAATCCACTGAAAAACGTGCAATTTGCATACTAAATATCAACGGTAAATGTTAATAAGAACGTAATATTTATATCGAGGAGTACGTAAGGAAGAGCCTGAGCTAAATGCAGTTGAAAGCGACGTAGAATCGCGAAAGGTTGGCGGTCGATTCCGGGGAAGGCCGGACGCTAATAGGTTAATTTGAATTTTCATCCCTGACCTCGGTATTATTCTCGTCGAGGAATAATCGCTGCGAGGGCGGCTGAATGCGAGGCTTAAACGGGCTGGTTCAGGCGCATTGACGCGGTCGAAAAGGTTTCTTCAGCTACGAGATTGGCCGGGTCCATTGACGTCCGGTGCCCGTCAAAGAAAACAAGCAACGAAAGAATGACGAAAGAGGTTTGCTCGGTTACGAAGAACTGCGACTCTTCAATATCAAGGGGTTTGCTCGGGAAACTGGCGATCCGCTATCATCCGTTCTCTCCCTCTATCTTGCGCGCGCGCATGTTTCTCCGCGTCCCTCGGGTCAAGGAGGGACCGCGTGGCTATTTTTTCCCCGTAAGCCTACTTCCTTTTTCACCTGCGAGGTGAGAAACGATCCGCGAGAAAGTAGAAAACATCGGTGGCGACCGGTCGTCAACGACGTCGTCCTCGACAACGAGCAAGAGCGAAAGGTTGCAGTGTGACCGTGAAAAGAAAAGGCGCCACACGCCGTTACGAATTCGTTCCGAGTGCCGGTGTTTCTCGGTTTTTCAACGGGACGATTATTCATACACCATCGATCATGCTCTCGATGAAAAGCCCCACTCGACAGCCATGCGATTACGCGTGTTTTTTCGAAGACCCTGGGACGCGATCCGAAGAGGAACGAAACCCGAAGGTACGACAGAAGAAACGCAGTGAATCTCGGAGTTAGATCGACTGGAGAAAAAGTGGTATTTCAATTCGAATGCGAACGGGTAAGCCGTGGAGAGATGGACTATCTTTTTTAACGTCAATTTTTTATGCCTAGAATCGGTAGAATAAATGCACACATTTTTCCTTGTAATACTATATATCGAATACATTTTTAGTAATTTTATCTTGCTTTAGAAATACGCATATAAAAGACGATAATAATATCCCAGACAATCCACGGTATAAGTTAGTCGAACTACTACATAGATGATGAAACGTGTTTTCGCGTTTATTGGGACAGTTCGACGTTTCTGTCGATTAACCGTGGCGATTTTCACGCTTCGTGCGGCTCAAATCCTATATCATAGAAAAAGGTAGAGATACAGTTTTTCGCGATACGATTTTGCAGTAGACGTTTCCATCAAACGGAGCCATCTTAGGGCTCCCTCGCATGTTCCATCTTTCCCCGTCTCACCTTCGTTTCATTCGACGAAGAACGGAATAAAATTTCCAGCGCGTCGCACGAGATTTCGTAGTCCTTCGACAGATGGTAAAGACTCGACTTGCATCCAGGAGTCGATGCACCAGGACGGTGACTGTTGAAACGGGGTTTTGCGAAAAACAAATAATCCCGTGGTCGGTTAACGAGATCTGGATCTTGCCCGCGGTTTTCTTGCGTAACCGGATCTAGTTCTCATCTCGGTATTCCTCTTCTTCTTCTTCTTCTTCTTCGTAACTCGTCTCCGTTAACGCGATCGGCTCCAGTGCCGATAGCACGGTTGGTCTCGCCGCGGGGATTCACTTTCTAGGGTAGGTTGGTTGACTCGCGTAACTTCGTCGGCTACTTCTCGAACCTTGCACAAGTTACAAATTACCGAACCGTTCCTCGACCACGATCGAAAAACTCATTCGACGAATACCTTCGTCTCCGTCTCCGCGTTCCCCTTTTTTACACTACTGTGCATAAATATTCGAATATTTCTAAATTATTACGAATACAGTGGCTCGCGAAAGTGTTTGAACATTTTTAGAGACTTTTTACGAATACATCAGGTGTGTTATAGGAAACATTCAAAGATTTCATTGGCACCATTAGGAAATTCGATTACCATAATTATATCGATCAAGTTTGAAACAAAGGAGCATGTATATTGAAGCTACAAGATTTTTAGTGCGAGTACCGTATATCTCACCGAAATCATAGGAATATTTAAACAGTCAGTTAGTCATTATTTCGTTATAACTTTTAAAAAGATAGAGAAAATCTTTTGATCGAATTGCACCAGGTGTTCAAATACTTGTACATGAGAACGTATGTACTTACGCGTATTCACGTCTGGCTCGTGAATTTCTCATAGAAAATTCGTACTACGTAGCGGTATCGCCTTTGTACTATCGCGGCAAAGGAACACGGGTTCAAACTGAACGCGAGCCGAGTGTACTTTTGATTGTTGCATAATTAATGCGCTCTATCCGAGGTTAATTAAACGGTAAGAGTTTTTCGTCGGGCGAAAAAAGATTCCACCTGGCTTCGAGATCTTTTTCCACCGAGCGACCTTGAGCCAGTCGGACAGCAGGGATTTTCAGCTCGTCCATTTCGCGAAATATTTCAACGTCGAGGTGGATGATGTAGATAAAGTGCGAACGTCCGAAGATGGTACGCGCCGGCTTGTTTTACTTTTTCTGCTTGCCGTTGGCTTAAGTTGCGCGCAATAATGCGGCCGCCATATAGGACCTGGATAGAAATAAATACGCGGGGTTAGACAGACCCATAGATCACCTGTATTCGGTACCATCGGTGTTCGCCACGATGTTCCTTTTTATTTTTTTCCTTTTTTCTTTTTCTTTTACGTGTGTGTTCCTTGCACTCGTCGATCGCACGAACCGAACGAGCGAACGTACGCTCGATCTCGTCACGCGAGATTCACTTTCAGAAACGAGCTGGCTTACAAACGAGCTGCAACTACCTGCGTCTCGCGAGAAAAACTTAGCCGTGACTATTAATTTTCACGCCTCGCTGTTTCCTCGAGGACGATTCAATTTTCGAAATCGCTGCGCTTCGTTAGCAGCGAATCTTGGCGAATCCGAGCATTGTTTTCCAACGACGAATCTCCTTCGTCGTGATATTACAGCGAGGCAATTAACGAGACCTTCGTCCGTTGCTTTCTTCGGCGAAGTACGCGATTACACGCGTATCGAGCCAAGAAGCAAGATGCGATAGCACATCGCGTAATTAGACGCGCGCCAAAAAGGCTCGTAATAAAACTGTTGCCTGCGTAATAACGTGATTAACCGTCATCGAGTAAGCAGACCGAGTGACGGTGCAATTCAACGCGCGGAAAGGAGGAAAAGTCGCGGGCAAGGTTGGATACGCACGTAACCCTAGTTGAAGGAACGCGACCATTAAATACCAAGACCAAGGATGTCTTTGCATCCGAATGCAATCGTTTACCACACGATTGGTAGCACCTCGCTTGCTTGGTTCGTAGCTCAAAGTTCACCGACAGGCTTTTCCCTCCGCTATACGCGCAAAGACGTAGAGATAGATAATCGTTAATCGTACAGTAACGTCTAATTTGTAAAAAGTTGCACGACAGGAAGTAAAAAATTCGTTGATCAAAGGCGGTTGGGCTTTTGTAATATGACGGTACATTCGTTATTTTCGTAGCGGCCTATCTCTAATTTACATTGCAACTCCGGTTCCCTGGATAATCATAATTGCTGCTAACGGTAGTCATTAACGCGGTCGTAGCTGCGATATTGCCTATCCGTCAGTAATCTAACGCTGTGAAGCACGACGCCTCCGATAATTACAAAGAAGCTGTAACCACCAGGAAGCGACAGGGTGAATCCCCCATTAAGCCGAGATAATTTTATACGTTTTGTCCTCGGTATTTTCCGGCTAAGTCTATCCTCGAGGAAAAACTAACGTGCGTATTTCGCGACCATCGAGCAAGATCGGTGTTGAAACCTAAAACACCTGTGGACGTGCGACAGCTGATTAAGCAGGATGGTATAATCGCTATATGCGCTTGATAATTAATTATATTTTCTGACCGATTTAAATCTATGGCCAGCTACAATATGATCTAAGATTTAACTTAGAATTTTGTAATTCGCAGCTCAAGTACAAGAGACGAGTATACAAGATGCTGCATCTCGACGAGAAACAGCTGAAGGCGATGCACACGAGAACGAACTTGCGAAGGTTACTGGAATACGTGGCAAACAGCCAGGTCGAGAAGATCGCCAAGATGTGCAGCAAGGGTCTGGATCCTAATTTCCACTGCCAGGAAACCGGAGGTAAAACCGATTACGAGTTTCTTTCTCGGTTGAATTTGTGGCACTGATCCGGCAAACGTTCTACCGTAGTTGCCGAAAAAGCTCGATTTCATTTAGATAAAAGCTTCGTGGCGAGCTAATTCATGCAAGGAGGAAAAGTTCTCGCTGAAACGTCGGATATAACTGTATTCCACTATGTAGCCAGCTATTTCTCGTTTGGCTAATCACAAACTCGCAACCACGCGTTTGCTTTCCGTCGCCTCGAGACAACATGCCGACCTTGAGGCCGCGTCAGTGGTCATCGGATTTCCTCGTGTCCATCAGAATCTTTCACGCGTTAGGAATCCACGTCGATGTACCGCGAGTGATCTCACGCGAAAATTTGCCTGCTTTTGCAGAAACTCCGTTGACCTTGGCCACGACCCTGAAAAAGCCTTCGAAGGTCATAATAGCGCTGGTGAACGGCGGCGCGCTGTTGGATTATCGAACGAAAGAGGGTCTGACGGCAATGCATCGCGCCGTCGAACGAAACAGCTTGGAGGCGGTGAAGACGCTGCTCGAGCTTGGCGCCAGCCCCAATTACAAGGACACCAAAGGATTGACGCCGCTCTATTACAGCGTCATATACAAGACCGACCCGATGCTCTGTGAAACGCTGCTTCATGACCACGCGACGATCGGCGCCCAGGATTTGCAGGGGTGGCAGGAAGTGCACCAGGTCTCGCAACAATTTTTTCTTTTTCTTTTGTACCATTTCCTAAAGCACTGTCCGTTTAAGCTGCGTCCTCGTCTAAGCAACAACGGGAAACTCATTATTGTCTGTCATTGTTGCATGTTTGAAACGATAATCAACACATATCGACTTACAGAAACATTTCTCATACCGAACGACGGATATCTGGTGTTTGCTTCGGTTTCAAAATGGTCGTTTTTCCTAGCAGAAAAATTGTCCACGCACGGTTTCGTCGTGAAACGTTTGTTTCCACCAGAATGTGTTTCGTTTTACTCTGATCTTTACCGCTCTGATTGAAAACAAACAACAAGCGACTTCTGTTACGAGAGACAGTAGCACGAAAAATGGTGGAAAAACATTGGACAGTAAACCGGCAACTTTTTCAAAATACACGAAACATCGACCGAAAGTTGTTGGTTGTTGCTTGGAGTAAGGACGCAGCTTTAGACTAGACGTATCTATCTCGAGCAACACGTGGTAAGGTTTGAAGGACAAGTTAAGGGAAGGTAGGAAAAGTACGGTTTAATTATAATCGCGTCCCCTTCGATAATCGATACTTGGTGTGGTGTTCGCAGGCCTGCCGCAACAACCTGGTCCAACACCTGGATCACTTGCTTTTTTACGGCGCCGACATGAACGCGCGTAACGCATCTGGTAATACACCGTTGCACGTTTGCGCAGTGAACAACACGGACTCCTCTTGCATACGCCAGTTGCTGTTCAGAGGCGCGCAGAAGGACAGTTTGAATTACGCGAACCAGACGCCTTACCAGGTCGCCGTGATCGCCGGGAACATGGAGCTGGCCGAGGTCATTAAGAACTATCAGCCGGAGGAAGTTGGTGAGTGCGAATCACACTGACAGATAGGCGAACCTCGTCGAAGATTCGACGTGATTAGGGGAAGGAGGAACTGTTGGCGAGACAATCTTCCTTTTGTCGTTCTTTCAAGCAACAGAGAAAAGATGAAACCAAACCTCCCCTCCACGCGACCGCTGGTCGATCAGTTGATCGATTAATTTTCTACGTTTTGATCGTGCCATGCGATAGCCGATTCTTAGTAGGTAGACAACATTCAGGCAATCGACAGCGATCACGAAAAACTCGTGATTCGGAGAATTCGATGAGCGTGTTTCGCAATCCTTTTTGAATCGTTCGACGACATCGTTTCGCACTCGAGATTACGGACAACTCGAGTTGTACAACGTATACACGACGTAACACGTCCGTTGACAGACGAAGAGTAGCTACGCGAAACGCTTATCTGATAAAGCGCGGACTTCGCATCGACCGTCCGGGAATTTTTTAAACATAGAGCACGTCACGAATTTAGCCTGGCATGTGCATGTACGTAGAACGCTTCACCTTTTTTCTTTACCTGTCTACTAAGAGACAAACACGCTTCAGCGCTTGCTCGTAGCGTAGCGAAGAGTAGCTAGTGAACCATAGACTAGTCTAACGATGTAAATATATAACATACAAATATATATTTACGTATATATAATTGTGCGTGTATCTGTGTCTGTGCTGTATGACAAAAGTACATGAAATTGTAACAGTCTAATGGGATCTTTGGTGGTGATGGTCTTGTAAGACGTCGAGTATGTTTGTAACGATATAACGAGAAGTAACGACTAAAGTTTGATTGCTTTTGAGTAATTACTAACGATGCCGTATCTTTTGGTCTCGTCGTAGAGCGACTTCGCTGTTGTCGGATCTAACGAGATTGTTTTTGAAAATCGTACAGATACGGAGAAATCGAACTCCGCTGCTGACAAAACGGATATCGAACGTTCGATTGACAAGCCCGGCAATGGCGAAGTCGTGAAAACAAGTTGACTAGTAATGTTTGGTAGTTTCGACGTACTTTGTGAGTATACGTACGTGTGTCGTCGTGGGCCATTGGAATTTCCTTGGAGTAAAATGGAAAAAGCGAAGCTGTTTCCAGTCGATACTTCCGAGGAGTCCGGTGGCCCGTTGACGGCAACCTCGAAATCACCGGTGCACATGTGCTGTGTCTGTCTAACAAAAAAAAAAAAGAAAGAGAGAAAAGGAAGTACGAAAGTACGATGCGGATATATCTCAGTGGCACCTTTACAACCTCGGGCACATTGTATCGTACAAAACAGATACAAGCAACCGCGTCGAATGCGTGACTCTTGCGTGTGCTTTTCACCGCTTTCTTGTATACAGAGACTAACGATGATAACGTTATTCGATCGTCGTTGTTCCTTATAACACGTGACATAACGTGAATCACATGCCGTCGAGCAATGCCGAGTATTTAACAATTTGTGTAGGTGCGCGTGTGTGCGTGCGTGTGTGCCGTCGGCAGCTTGTAAGTCCGCTTGAAAATTCTGTGAAAACGAAACGCGCGCGGCGAAAGGTCGCGGACGTCCAATCGAATCGCTCGCTTGTTTGAAAAACATGGTACGATGCACGGGAAACGCATCGTAGCAAAAAGCACGCTCGAAACGAGAGAGAAAGCATTTCGTGAGATCGAAAGAAATACTGTTTGCCAGGGATTCGGGATTCGGGGAAATCGTGTTTAGAAAGGGACACGCGCGTGTCAGATCACACACACACACATTGGACTCGTGAGCGAGAACACAGAAAGATGATAATATCGGGAGAGAAAAAGTGACAAAGAGACGATCTCGCTCCAAAGGAAGACGAATACCTTCGGAGAGCGGCGTCTACTTGTAAGGCTAAGTAATCCTTTCTTTACTTAACCTTGCAACCCTCGATTTTCCAGTACCGTTTAAAGGGCCGCCACGCTACAACCCGAAACGACGGTCGGTGGCCTTCGGCGGCACGTCGACGATGACCACGAGCTGCTCGGCCAGTAACTTGGGCACCCTGACCAGGATACCTTCCGCGGAACAACAGCACGGATCTGGTGGAAGTTTGACCGGTTCCGGAGGAGGTAGCCTCACCAGAACGATCTCAGTGGAGCAGTACACGGCGAGCGTCAACGCGGTCACGAGAGTACCGTCCGCCGAGCAATACGCGACCGGCAACCTGACCAGAGTACCGTCCACGGAACAACAGTATCCATCCACCGGCACCCTGAACAGAGTACCGTCCTCGGAACAATATGCCAGCCCTATCGCGACCGCGACCGGTACCACCACCGTAACCAGGATGTCTTCCGGAGAGCAATACTCCGCGACCGCCGGTACGCTCACCAGAGTACCGTCCACAGAGCAATATCCAACCGGTACGCTCACCAGAGTACCGTCCGCCGAGCAGTACGCGAACAGTATCGCGAGGACGGCGGACACCCATCACGCCGCCCTCGCCAGAGTACCGTCCATCGAAGCAACCAGAAACGAGCTACAGAGAATACCGTCCGAGCAGCACGTTGCCGCTAGATCCGCCGAGCAGAACGGTCATCGGATTACCTCGGACTACCAGAGCCCCAATTCGCTGAGGGATCCTAACGCGAGGTAAGCATAAACTGTCTTTGCGATCTCTCTTGCGAACTCGGCTGCTCTCGAAATCGGGATTTCCTCGTTACTCCTCTCGTCCCTTTTTATCCTCCGTGCTGTTCACTCAAATCTCCAACATCTCTTCTCTTTGATTAATCCGACCGATCAAGGTCGAGATTTCTTGCCGCGTTCTTTACGATACCAGGGCGTCTGCTCTTATCTTCGATTCGATATCGATATAACTTCACGCGTGTTTCCAACAGGCTATTTTCCGATACTAACCTTCGCGACGAATTCAATCGATCGTACGTTGTTCGGGTGGCGGGTAACCCGCGTGTTCATCCGCGCGTTCGGGAATTAACCGATCGCGCGTTAAAGCAAAGACAATTTACGCTAATCTCGTGAGATTTAATCGAACATAAGGTCGAACGTAATTACGTTCGACTCCTATACGAGTTCCGCCTCCATTTCAAGATTACCAGCCACCGCGGAGAACTATCAGAACGTAAGAATGGAGGGACTGACGAGGCTGCAAGAACACCGGCTCGAGCTTCAACACCGTCTTGACATGCACAGAACGATGGAGATGCCGCCGTCGCCGTCACCGAGCAGCAGGAGTCTAGCTCCTTTCAGCTCGGCTAGCTCGAGCCTCTCCGAAGGCAGCAATCAACCGTCCGGCGAAGATTCCGCCAGCATCGTCACAGGTATACACACACAGGTTTATTTTCCTCGACTTTTGCCTCTCTCGGTCGCGACCAGAGCGACGAGAATGCGGTTCTACGGAAGCTCGCGTGCTCGCAACCTTCATCGTTCAAGAGATTTCGTGAGATGTAGCCTCCGTATATGCGTTTGGGACACGGTACGTGATCCCCTGATGCGACACGGAGAGAAAGGTACAGAGAGAAAGAGAGGGAGAGAGAAAAAAGGGAAAGCGAGAAACACGATCAAGTGTATTTGTATATTTGGCGAGACTCGAACGTCGAACCATCACCATCAGAAATGGTACGCGATGCCAGACAGGCTAACTTTGCCGAGTCTGTTCCACGCGGTGCTATGACGTTTCTCGAGACGATGACGAAACAACACGCGAGATACGACTATCTGTGTCTCGATGGATGTAACATCGGCGATCTAGACATTCCACGCCACGAAACTCTCTCTACGTACACACGTATTTACTAGTTAGGAAATTTCAAAAGAGCGGATATACCGTTTTAGCGTTAAGCTGGCGCTTTCTACTTTCCGTTAACAAATCTAGCGTTGCATGACGTTCAAGCCGGTCTAAGAATCCGATCGAGCCAATGGAACGATGAAAAGCTCAAACGACCATGCTTGTTTTCGTAAATTTTTTAGACAAGAGTCTCGGCGATACAGCCTCCGACGTGATTAGCGACAGTTCCGGGGTCGGAACCTCACAGTCGGACACTACCAATTCCCTCTCGATCCCAGGTACCACGGTCGTTTGCGTCGAGAGCTACAACAGCGGAATTCTAGGCCATCTGAATATCAATCAGGGAGATATCTTGGAAGGTACAGACTATAATTATCTTCTCTATCGCTCTTTATTTATTTGATCAAGGCTCGCGTTTATCGCGTTTCCGATAACGGAACGAACGCTGTTCGTTGATTTTTATTTCGTAAGTATGCACATTTTTTGTTTACGAGTTTGTGGACTTTGGTAGATTCGTATTTCTTTTTTTTCGTTACAATAGTTGATTGTGGGATTACTTTCGACACGGCGACTGATTCTACGAATCTAGATTAAGCGAATTTTAATTTTAATAATTTAGTTATAGTCGTTTGTAAATGATGTGTCGTACTCTATATACGTTTTGTAATATGACGTTACGTTTTATATGTTTTTCTTATAAGCTGGGAAAAAGTAAAATTGCCCGAACAACAGTCGCATGGTGGTGGAAATATCCTGGACCTTTGTTAATTGTTTCTTCTCAAATATCTCATCGATGGTGCATTCAAATGAAATACACCGATTCATCGAATAATCAACCAGTTATATATCTTTTCTGATGGTATTCTTGCAAGGGAGATATAACACGCTAAAATTTCAAGCCAATCTCGTCGAAACCAAATACCTTTATTACTTAGTCGATAATTTCTAAAATTAAAATGCGCCGGTAGTGAGTTGTATTTTTTATTTTTTTATTTTTAACAGTCACCGGTGCGACCGACTGTGGTCTTCTCGAAGGAGTGCTTCGGGGACAGGGCACGGGTCTGTTTCCGGCGCACTGCGTACAAGAAGTCAGGCTCCGTCACACGAACATTCCACTGGGCCCTCAACCTGCCAGGGATGGCCGGAACAGAGTATTGGGCCGTAGAGAATCTCAACATAAGTATTTCGCTACTGCTCCTAGACTGAAGAAACCGTGAGTCACTTACGTATATTACTTTATATTACATCTTACATTATCATCTTACATTATCATGCATCCTACACAGACGTATAATAATAACATCGGTTAGATCGGACATTTTTACAAGCTAGAGAGGCGTCCGTTAGAGCGAATATCTTCGAATATCCTCGAGCCTGTCGTAGCCTTGAGTGCTAACGGAAACGACGCTGGTTTAATCCACCGAGTAACCGTTATTCAATTCGTTGATCTTCAGAGTTACGTCTGAACCTCGTACCGTGGTACTGCATCGCTCGAGAAAAGGTTTCGGCTTCGTATTACGGGGCGCCAAGGCAACCTCGCCTCTAATGGAACTGACGCCGTCGGCCAGGTATCCCGCCTTGCAGTACTTGGACGACGTCGATCAAGGAGGAGTGGCCGACCTAGCTGGCCTCCGAAAAGGAGACTACCTTATCCAAGTAAGTAACAAGTAGAGAAGCAGTTCGAATCGCTTCGTACTGTATACGAAAAATTCGAATTTTACCTACTTGAAACGTGATTTGAAACTTGGAACCATAGAAAGCTTCGAATGGATATTGGAACAACTGTTGCTAATCGCAGTTTCGTTTTTATTTTCTAACTTTGGTTTATCAATTTGATCAACTTCTATTCTATCGATGCCTGATACTTTTTCGTAGATCAACGGCGAAGATGTGACGACGGCGTCGCACGAACACGTAGTCGACCTGATCCGAAAATCCGGGGAACTGGTCAGAATGACGGTAGTTTCCCCGATGATCAGCCTTCCGAATTCGCAATCGGCAGCCCTTTTGCCAACTAGTCAACCTATTCAGAGACAGTACGCAACCCTTCCGCGTAAAGGTAACAACAACGTGGTGATTGGCGGTACGCTTGGCAGATCACCGGCTCCCATGCCACCCCGAAGAGACCCGAAAACCACTCTGAGCGTTGGTCGCGCTCGAGCAAGATCGATGGTCGCGGGATTAGGTAAACTTTTGATGATAAAAGTAAAAAATACAGTAATTCCGGCTTGAATTCCAATAGAAATGAATTATTTCGCCTAGTCCTATCTGCTCTCCGCTACTGTTCTCAACAATTTCGTTCATGTATATAAATATGTGTATAATCGCCACTCGATATTAGTTTCTTCTCCTATATATGTAATTACCAAGTATACTGTACAAATTTACTATGTTTTCTCGTAACATGCAGAAGGTGGTGGTGAGAGAGACGATCGCGACGAAATAACGTCGACGGGAGCCAAATCGAGTAGCGCGGAATCGATTCATCTTCCTCAGCAACCATCGACCGGACCCAATACCGGACAGAACACACCGGTGCAGCCGCGAACGGCCAGTATTCGATCGAGACCTACCTCCAGTAGGATCACTGCCGCGGAACTGGAGGTACGTATGAAAAATCACGAAGCATATACCGTTGCTCGATCACGAACGATGCGCTTCTTGTTCTCCTCGAATGGCACTGCACGAACGAACTGAGGCTTCAGCTTTGTCCTTCCTTTCTTCCAGGAACTATTTCAGCGGCAGCAAGGTAGTACCAGTGGTCAGTACAGCTCGTCCATGATGAGCTCTCACTTTCAAACTGGTCAAGCTACCAAGTCGCATCCTTCCTCACCTGCTAAGACCGGCAGGGTATACGCGAGCGTAGCGGAAATGAAACGCAAAGGCAAAGTAAGGATACTTTCCCTCGAAAGTTAATCGTATATACTCTTTTCGATCTGCCTCTGTAGTGGGTCGTTTTATTATACTCTGTCGCGTGATACTTTGCTCGATGGTTACGAACGTGATAGAGTTTGCGGTGTTTGACAGCTGTAGAAACTAAGCAAACCGCTAAACTGTCTATTCTAAGGATTCTATCTGGCAAATATAAAGGAGAGTCGTTTCAACAACGAGTTAACTTGTTTCTTTTTTAGATCATTAATCAATTAAACGATAAACGTATTTACCTTCGGTAAAACTGATTTTACATTTTAGTGCATTTATAGAAATGTATATTTTTATAAAGATAATTGGAAAAATGAAACCTGGATGAGAAATTGTTTCGCGTAGTAAATATTATATATCCGGGAAGGGTTAAAATTTCTGGTCAGAGGAATCCCTAGAAGCGGCAAGCTTTGTTTAACTCCGATCGACTTAATTTCCCGTAACTTGGATAAATTGTTTGCCGTTACAGTAGATCCGTGTTGTTGGTGACCCGTTGGTGACCCGAGTATTTCTGGTCATTTAATTAGTCGCTGTGCCTCCCCACTCTTTGTTTAACCATTATCGATATTCTGGTTCTCGGCGAGAGTATTGAAAGTATTTTTCAGAGTGGCTAGTGCTCCTCGATGCATGCTACCCAGGTGGTGATGGTGGCTGTTTTTACGCATGTGTGTTGTAGTTTTCTCGCAAGCCAGCACGAGTGTACAGCAAGGGGCGCTCCTGGTACGAGAGAGACAACGAGGACGACTTATATTACTGATCGAAAATACTTTGTTTCTAGCGCGTCCGTGACTTGCATGATTCCAGGTGACTAAGCCATTTGCTAATGAAAATCCGATGCTCGAAAGGGTATCGGATATCACTTTCAGCTTTATGAACACGCCTCGCAGAACTAACGATGTATATCCATGAAACGAACATTTTAATTACTTTGCTTACACTTTTTGCATGATCGTGCATTCTTCCCCCGTGTGCCATACATAATCGGCCGTTACACGTTTAAATAACATCCAACTTTCTCAGAATTGCGAACCATCTTAAATTCCCGCGAGTCGCCAAATAATCTCAAAGTCACTCGACATCTCAAAATGTATAAATCTTATTAAACAAGGAGAAAATGGAACTTGATAAATTTGTAAATATAAGTAGATGCAAATTAAGACAATAATGGTATTAACCAATTAATGAGCATATGTACGTGACCATAACCGATTATTTTGTAGCTACTGATCTTTGTAAATTGGAACTACGGTATCTTATACGAAAATATGTTTATAAAATGTGTATTATACACCTATTTTCATTATTAGTTATTATTAGCTGCTTCTTAAACATTTGATTTTGAAGACAGAGATTTAGTCATTCTCGTTAATAAAGAAGAAAAATTTGCGCGTTAAGGGAATATAAATTGCTTTTTATCGGTGCTTCTCCAAGTTCGTATAATTCTCGGATATTGCGTTACTTGTGACAGTAGTACGAGCTATGTATGTGCGACCAGCTATTGTTTTTTGTGAATGCTATCCCCTCGAAATCACCGGATCGTGGGTCCCAATAGGATTTTGTCGGTTTGTTCACAGCTGAACTCAAGAGTGCGATTCTTCGGTGGATTGGGCGGTGGTTCCGATCTTCACCGAGACTTTCACAGTACACCGGACTTAAACGTGCAGGTTCAGTCGTCTATTTTGGCTCCGAAAGGGCATAGAAGCCAAGAGGACGTAAACGCGTTGAATGGCAGAAACGGGCTTCCACCACCGAACCATCCGCCACCTCCACCACCGGTCGGTCAAGTCGTCAAAGTGAACGTGGGCGCGAACGTGCCGGACGTAGTCACGCCGGCTTCTGTGTACGATAATATGGCTCACATACAGCAAGTCAAAGGTACCGTATATCGTCAGGATATTTCAACGCGTTACGGTTCAGTCACGTGTTATTTCGTGATAAATTTCACGGTGGCTGCTTGTCAGCCTCCGCTCCTATTGTACTGGAAGCTGGAAAGAAAGGCGAGTGGAATAGATATAAATCCGATTATACCCATCTCGATCGTACACGCGTTTCTTACCGTTTTCTTTTACTCATCGTACCCTTATGCCTGATATTAGTTTTAAAATTCTTTTAGATATAGTTTTTCGAATATGAAATCTGCTTAGAAACTTCCCTACGCTATTTACAAAGCGTTTGAAATTTTACAAACATACGGAGAAATATGAATTTGCATAAAACTGCACGATACTATGATCGGTCGAAATGGTCACATCTGCCAATCGTGTCGTTTAATGAACGAATCGAGCAGAATGCTCCTCTCGCTGCTGTACCATTCCGCTAGTCTCTTTCCAACATCGCGTTGTAGAAATTATTCCCACACAAGATAACTATATTCTTCCTGTTCTATGCAGAATTGGCAGCCGCGACAGCAGACGGAGGTTATGGCGTGATGTCGAGCTTCCGACCATCGAATAGCGCCAAGTTATACGCCTCACCGGAAGATATGAAGACGGTAGGATATCGTTCTCGCAGCCTACCAACTCATACGACCCGTTGTCACGTGAGAAAATCGCACAGTCTGCGCACCACCAACAACACGACCTTCAAGCCGTTAAACAACCAACAAAACGTGAACAACACCGTCAGCAACAACAACCAGGTGAACAACAATCAGTCGGCCAACAACCAGTACGCGCAACCTCTGAAGACCAACAGAAGTCACAGTACGGCTGGTGTCAGGGAAAGAAAGAAGAAGGCCATCGGTACCAGTTCCTCGATCACGAATCTCTCGTCAGTGGCGAACAACAATGCTGGAAATACGGTGACTAACGCAGCTCCGCCGATCCCAGAACCGGATTACAGCCTGTCGGAATCGGACAACGACGAGGGAGAGGAAGAGACGGACGATGATGGAGAATCAGAGATCGCGAAGGAACTCGAGAAAGCGGCTGCAAGGGAGAAATTGGAATCCACTCGAGAAACATCGGGCAACTCGAACACCTCGGGTTCGAGTTCATCCGGTAGCAGTTCGTTACCACATTCGTTCAGCGTTGAAGAAATTCAGAAGGTCAGAACGCAATTGAAGTCTTCGAAGAGCCATCCGAACGACTTTTTGTTGCAACAAACTCAGCAATCCCTCGTCGAGGACGGCGATAACAGCTCGAGTGGTGTGAGTTCCGACCAAGACGTGCCAGTGGGTCCACCAACAGGTTTCGATGATACTACCGTTAGAAATCTTGCCAACGAAGCCGCGCAACATCCGACCACGGTGCTCTCCGTCACCAATGTAGAGAAGGAGACGAATCCGAAAAGAACGAGCTACGGTGGTAGCGGATTACTGACGCGACACGCGGTTAGCCTAGCCCAGTTGCCGCCACCGATCGAGGCGGATGCCGAGGAACAAAGTAACGATCTGTTCGTTCCACCACCGCCTGAGTTCAACGCTGGACCTTCCGCGGGCAGCGGCGACGAACTGGTATTCGCTCCTCCGCCTCAATTCTGCGACAACAAGCAGCAACCGCAACAACAACAGCAACAGAATCGCGTGAAGATCATCGGAGCGATACCGAAGGTTACCAACAATCAAGTAAAAGCTTCCGGTGGGCGGTTGCATAACCAGTGAGAAAGAATCGTTGCGAAGGATCGCCGATGAACGGACGGTTCGAGTCGCGTGATCGCGGGCCACGATTTACCAGAGTCAATTTAATCTTTCCCTATTAACCTTTCTCCTCCCGAGATAATTATGTACGCACATAGTGTTGCGCGTGATCCCTAAATATCACCTGTTCCGTCACTGGACCAACGATCGAACGCAAACTCGTTCGACCATTGGGAATAACATACGATGCGATTGGCTGCAATAAAATTTTTCATCGATAACGTTCCCCGCGCCGGAGGAGTTTTGTAAGGAACGAACGCGCGCGTCTTCTCTATCGCTAAAGTATCCGTACTTGAATAGGGCGCCGTTTAGATCGCTCCGTCAAAAGGGTTTGTAGTAGTGAACAAGGTATTCAGTGAATTTTTACCGTAAAACCTAGAATATGTATGAGTCGTACGAACCGCAGATACGTTAGACTTATAAAAGAAACGTGCGCGCGATGCTTTCTACACACAAAGCGGTGTGACGCAACGTTCGTGAATGTCAAAATTCCATAGCCGTCTCGTGGAATGGCCTAAAGAGGTGAACGAGGAAAAAAAAAAAGGAAGAATCTATAAATCGTACTGTAGCTCGTAATTAGAGAGAAGAGAGAAATGAGCGAGCAAAAGAAAAAGAAAAGAATAAAGAAAGAATAATTCTATACGATGCACGCTCGTGTGTGTGTATTATGTATGTGTGCGTGTAAGAAACGTAGAGAACGAATGCGTAGCGTATATCGGTTTGTTTTTCATATTTCTATCGAAGTACGACGCGTGTTTAATACTTTTACATGTAACAACCTCTATCTGTAAACGTCATCAACTTCTCCCATTCCACCGCGAAACAAGCAGAAAGGAACGAAGGCACTTTCGAGGAAGAACGCATCGAAATGTAAAATCGTGCTAAGACACGAATCGGTGCTGCTAATCGTAATTCGTTTGATATCTTTTTAGTATTGGAGTGGCGCGAATTCGATGCGGAGAAGAAAGAATCGAAGGTGCCGAATCAATGGATTAGCTAGTAAAGCGCGCGCGCGGTTGAGTTCGATTCCGTTTCTCTCGTGTTTAGACACTGCTCAAGAGCCTAATTACAAAGTTCTACTCACAAAGTCATTAGAGATTGTTTCTAGTTTGTAATAACGAGTAATAGCGTTACGACGAGTATGAATTTATCTCTAAGCTCGTAATCGCGTTAATAGAGGCGCACTGTACTACGTTAACGCACCAACATTATTCAGCTTGTAAGATAGATCGTATTCCTTCCATTTGAATCAGGCTCCTGAGAGCCGCGAGGTGTTAGCATAACTTTGACGATCTTTCCCTCACCGAAAATGATGTTTGTTCGCTAAAAAAAAATGCACGGTTATCTCTGGTCCCTCATCGAAGTGTTTCACGTCGAAGATAATCAAAAGTCGATCCTTTTCTTGTAATGGAATAACCCTCGTTGATTTATCCTTTGTATATAGTATATAATTGATCGGCAGTGGAGAAATAAAGGAGAAAGATCTCGCGACTCTCGGCGACACTGCTACATACTGTATATATATACCGAACAACATTGCTACGTATTGAATATCTATAACGATGGAACGATTATTATCATCACTTTTATGATCACACCGCGATAGATTTAAGCGATATCCATGAAAGCAACGTCCTTCCTAATTATTGTTTCTATGCCTTTTCAAGTTAAATCATATTCATATACAAAACAGTGAAGTATGATGTTAAGTCAAGTGCATGCTTGTTGAAGCATGAATGAAACAGTTTTCGAGTCGAAGGAAATCATATTAAAGATAAGTATTAAATGTTCCTTAAATATTTTATTGTTTGTTTCCGATCGGTAAAAAAGAACGAAAGATCACTGATGCGTGTATATCGTTTCAAAAACTTGATCGACTGGTTGATTCGGGTCAGTAAAGCAATATTGTATGCATTACAACGGCTCGTGTAATAATAAACCGTTTCAAGAATAGAATTTTATCTTTGTTTGCGGTCTTGAACAAACGGTATTGTCGATTACGCTAATTTCCTCGTATACGTGCCCGCGCAAACTTTGTTAAAAAACAGATACATAAAGGTTGAAAGATATACGAAATGAAGAAGGTATATCCTATACGTTGGATTATTCTTTTCAAAGATCACGCAGTTTTTAACCATTATTCGCTTAAAAGAATATAATTCCGTTGAAGGTTCGCCGACGTACTCTCCTTGAAGTTATCAAAAAGTTCAAGGTCACGGCCGCTCGAAGTTAATCGATGGTTCAAGGTCACTCCAAGGACATTTCAACGTTCCTGTATGATATTTTCAAAGTTAAAGATCTAAGATTGTTTCAAAGTAAAGCTATATTGATCTTAAAGCTCCTTTAAAAATGAAAAAAAAGGAAGAGAATATCGAATTTCAGCGAAGTTATGTTTTTAGAAACTAAATAGTTCACGAACCGAAGAAATTTTTGCGATGACCCATTTACGACATTCCTGCCAAAATTAATTATAATAGTGTGTAATATATCGAAATTTATGAAAAAGAGTTGACATTACACCCATTTTTGGACAAATGACCCTTATATACTGTCCGTAATATTGTACTTTCGAATCTATCTGTTCTCGTTCATTATCGAACATTATCGCATTATCGAACTGTTTCAATAGTATGATAACACTTTAAAATGCTTCAAGCTCGCGCGAGATTATTCGAAAGATAGATCACCTGATTATCCGTGTCCTTAGAATTTGTTACTAAACGGCTTTTACCTCGCTTTACGAGGCGGTAGGAAGTTTTGTAGCTTATTCCAAAAAAAAAAAAAAAAATCACGCGTAGAAGTCGCTCGCATATATGTATAATTATTTCTTCCTAAATGAAGACAGTACACGCTCGCCATTAACGGTGACGAAATATAGACACTTTAAAAAATATTGAAGGGAACTAAACAAATTTATAAAGCGACAACCTGGATAGCTAAATAAACGTTTGTTATCCAGATACAACGAATATATTGCAACAATTTCAATTTATTTATTAACGATAATAAATCTGAAAATTTAAGCATTCGATATAATCACCATCGACACATAATGTTTCCGTGGATCTTGCCGATGCAGCATTATTGACATGCATAACTATACATAACCAGATGCATGTATTTACAGAACAAAAATTGCGTTAGTGTCAGATTAGACGTGAAAAACGCAACACGAATTGAATTTTAAAAGCTTTCTGTTAAACCTTTATTGCATACATCTATTTTATTCGTTCATCCATACTTGATACATTTCTCTTTAATCTTAATTATCATCCTGCGAATACTATTAGTACTTTTTGCACTATAATTACTGTATTACGAGTTGCAAGATACGTGCAATTTTCCGATGATAAATAATAATCGATCATGTTCAAATAACGACAGCATACTTTAATGAACCTCACATTTATCTGTCTAACCGTTTCTTTAATAGTTTTGTTTCCACTTTGTCAATTAATTTAAAGCTATTGAAAACTCGAATAGAAAGAAACAAAGTGAATTATAAAATACAGCGCTATCTATCACGATCCATGGCAACAATCACATACACAATTTGAAATTGATCGAGGCCTATCGAAACATAAACAACATGGCGAATAAAAGAAATATAACGTTACATGTAAAATATGTCTCATTTAATAAATTAATATTTTAACTATGCGCCACCATAACATTTTTATACATTGCTAGGCAATTAGCCTTCTTGACTATAACGCTAAAAATTTCGGCCTCAAAAAATGTCGATTGATAAGGTAGGTTATACATTTACAAATTTCTTAAGAAAACTATGGAATATCCTTGCTTACTTGTTATTTAAGATTTAAATTATGACAAAGAACATTTACAAACGTTATTTAAGAAGATGCTTATCCATTCAAACTATTTAAGAATACATCAACATTTATTTGGATCATGCATATGGCTTATCCGTCAAATGTTTTGATACAGGTCCTTTATCAATTGTATCAACCCCATGGTACTGGTACTGTTTTCATTTCATGGCGCCCTGGTAATAGTACTCATCTAGCAACTACTGGTTATGATTCCTCAGTTGCTATTTTTGATAGACAAGGTGAATTACAAGAACGTATTCAAATTGCTGGTTTATGTACTGGTTTTGGATGGGATTCTGATGGAGATCTATTAGCTATTATATCACAAAGTTCTTCTACTATCACGTTATGGGATGCAACAACTGGAAAAAAAACACAAATAGATGCTGGTGTAAGAGACGGATTAACATGTATGATATGGGCAAAAAGAGCTTGTTTATTAGCAGTAGGGACACAGAAAGGAAATTTAATACTTTATGACCATATAAATGCCAAGTATGATGTATCATAGTATTTTTATAGAAAATACTTTTACATATTGTTATATTATATAACCCTACATCAAATCATAAATTAATATATAGACGAATACCAATTTTGGGAAAGCACAAAAAAAGGATAACTTGTGGCGCTTGGTCTTATGAGGGGCTTCTTGCGTTAGTCAGTGAAGATAAGGTTTTAACTATCAGTACAAGTGATGGGGATACAAGGCGCGAAATACCTCTTCAAGGTGATGCATCTGATATTCAGTTTAATGAGATGAAAATGGATCACAGAGTTGGGGGTGAAAATACAGTATGATTTCTTTATATAGCAGTGATATATAAAATACATGTGTGTTTGTATATCTAAAGTATTAATTTTCTCATTATTTGCCAGGTATCTCTTATTATTAGCAAAACCACTTTATTTCTATACAATATTTTGGATCCAGAGAATCCTATTGAATTAGCTTTTCAAAAACGCTATGGACCTATTGTTACTTATAAATGGTAAAAAGGTTTAGATCATTAAAAAATCACTTAAATTTAATCACTTTTGTTTTCACTATATGTCCTACTTTAGGTATGGGGATGGATATATTTTAGTTGGTTTTCAAACTGGATATTTTACTGCAATATCTACACATATTAAAGAAGTTGGCCAAGAATTATTTCAAGTTAAGAATCATAAAGATTCCTTGACTGACTTGGCCATAAGTCAAACAATAGGAAAAATCGCTACATGTGGGGATAATGTCATAAAAATACATAGTTTGCAAAATTTAGAAGAAACTGAAAAATTAATTACAGTAAGCGGTGAAACTGGAATTAATACAGTAGAATGGTCAATGGATGGTACAATGATAGCAACTGTGACACACAGTGGCAATGTTTTAGTCTATTTAATACAAATTCCTAAATTATCTAGCGTTTGTGGAAATAGGATTGCACTCCTTACCAGTTTAACAGAAGTTACAGTCCATCTGTATACGCTAGATAAAGTAAATCTAAATACATGGCATAAAATCAAAACTGCATAAAACTGTATGTAAATATATAAAATTAATTTTTAGGAGAAACCAGACCCAATAATAATTAATACTATAATAGAACCGTCGGTATTAACAATAGGTCCAATACATGCAGCAGTAGGGTTGAATAACAGAGCATTGTTCTGGGATATATCCGGAAGGGATTACAATACTACAATACATTTTGAAAGAGATTATTTAGCAACAATAGATAGTATAAGATTGAATGAAACTTATGCATCTGTTTTATTTGATGGCAAATTACAGTTGCACTCGGTAACAAGTATATTAAAACACATATAAATTTACGTTACATTAGTGTATTAGTAAATCAACTATGTGTTAACTTATTATCCTTGTAGATTAAAATGGATCAAACACTATCGAAAGAAGGGAAGGATACAAAAATGTTTCCAGGCTTAGGTGTTTCAGATTTTAAAATAACGTGCCATGCTCTTAGTAGCAACTTCTTAATCTATGGCAGTGATGTAAGTTATTTCTATAAACGTATGAAATTCTAAATAAATATTGAAAGAACTAACTTACATTTATGATATATTTAGATGGGCCACATAATCTATTTTAGTTTAGAAGTCTTTAATCAATGTACTGAACATATACACGATAATGGTATAAAGGAAATCTATTTAGATACAAATGGAACACAATTATGTTTTATAGATAACAAGTTCGACGCTTATATGTATAATCCTGTGCAAGAAACTGTTTTACAAATTCCTGATTGTCTAGGTTGCATTGAAGGTGTAATTTGGGATCAAAATATTTTGGAACGTAATATATTTACTGTTTACAATAAAACTCTCATTACTACATACATATTTGTAAAATACTTTATCGAAGGTAAGTTAAAACTTGAAAATTATACAATATATATAAAACAAATATATTACGTATATTTTGGAAACAGGTACAAAAATTATAAAGATAAATACAACAAAGCTGCCATCTGAAACATTACCACTATTGATGTATTCTGGAGAATTGACATTAAGTTCAACAGCTAACAAATTAATGCAAATTACATTGTCTTCTCATGAAGATATAGGAAATATTGTGGAATATACAAAAATGAAAGAAATATTAGAAAATCAGATTCTTTGCAGGAGGTAAACGTCTTATTTATTTCTTTATTTGTTGACTATAGGATATTTATTCTATTAAATATTTCAGATATCAACAGGCATGGGAGACGTGTGAGAGAATTAATGAAAAAGACTCATGGTTAAAGTTAGGAGAAATTGCAATTGCAAATTTAAATATTGATTTTGGTATTTGCTATTGTTATTATTATTATTATTATTGTTGTTGTTGTTGTTGTTGTTGTTGTTGTTGTTACTATAAGAAGCGTATAAATATATTATTTACAAATAATCATTTTTCATCACAGCAATTCGAATTTACCGCTACTTAGAAGATGCTGCGATGGTTTGGGCACTACAAACTATGGAAACCTTAGATGAATTACCATTATTATGTGGACATGCTTGTATTTTACTTGGTAATTATAATGAGGCAGAACAATTTTTTTTACAATCATCTCAACCGGTACAAGCTTTGTATTTAAGAAGAGACCTAATGCAATGGGAACAAGCATTAAATTTAGCCCAAAAATTGAAAGCTGATGAAATTCCTTATATTGCTAGAGAATATGCTCAACAGTTGGAATTTACGTAAGAATACAACATTAAATGCGTAAATTATTTATGTGTTCGTATTTAAATTTTGAATTTCTTTTCTAGGGGTAATTATCCAAAAGCGTTAACAAATTATGAACGTGGATTGGTAGATTCAAATAATATATCTAATACAACTACACATAATCCGCAACATCGAAATCTATGTCTTGCTGGAATTGCGAGAATGTCTATCAGATGTGGGGATAGTAGAAGGGGTGTAAACATAGCTATGGACAATGAAAGTTCAAGACAATTGCGAAAAGAATGTGCAGAAATATTAGAATCAATGAAGGTGTGTAAGCACTATAACCGTATAAATATGTTCTATAAGTATTACAATTGGGTTATTATTATAGCAATTTAATGAAGCTGCATTACTATATGAAAAAGCTGAATATTTTGATAAAGCTGCTTCTGCATATATAAAATTAAAAAATTGGCAGAAAGTGGGGCAACTCCTACCACAAATCTCATCTGCCAAACTTAATATACAATATGCTAAAGCCAAAGAAGCTGAAGGCAAATATGAAGAAGCAGCAAAGGCATATGAAACTGCAAAAGATTATGAAAACATAATTAGGATTAATTTGGAATATTTAAACAATCCTGGTAATATAATTAATATTAAAATATCTTATATCTAATTTATTAGCTATTAAACTTCATCTAAAATGTACATACATATATGGCTTACTAATTGTAGCTCGAAGTGTTGAAGTAGTACAACAAACTAAAAGTATAGAAGGAGCTAAAATGGTCGCAAAATATTTTCAAAAAATGAATGATTATAATTCAGCAATTAAGTTCTTAATTTTATCAAATTGTCACGAAGAAGCATTCCAATTAGCTAATCAACATGGAAAAATGGAATTATATGGAGAAATTCTAATAAATACGATTGATGACAGCAATGCGCGAAAAGAAGATTTTAAAAGCCTTGCGATGCATTTTGAATCTCAGAAAAATAACTTTTTAGCTGGAAAATATTACTTCTATGCCAAGGAATATCAAAAAGCATTACGACATTTATTAAAAGCTGCACAATTAGTAACAGATGAAAATGAAGTCCTGTCATTAGCCATTGATACAGTTGCTTCTTCAAAAGATGACAAGTTAGCAAATCAGTTAATTGATTTTTTATTAGGTGGTGATGGATTACCAAAGGTATTGGTATCTGATTTAATAAAGATATCGGTATTGATACTTGATTGACTTGATGTTCAACTAATCATACTCATTACAGGATCCTAAATATCTGTTCAGATTATATATGGCTAGAAAACAGTACAAAGAAGCTGCAAAGACAGCAATTATAATTGCTAATGAAGAACAAATTAATGGTATGTTTGTTGTATTTATATAACCAATGTTAAAAGAATTGTGTTAGTGATGATTTGTTTTACAGGAAATTATAGAAGCGCTCATGATGTTTTATTTGGCATGTATCAAGAATTAAAAAAGAATAAAATCAATATACCTTCAGAGATGCAAAACAATTTAAGACTTTTGCATTCATATATCCTTGTGAGACTTCATGTAAAAAAGAACGATCATTTACGTGGTGCTCGTATGTTAATAAGAGTAGCCAATAACATATCGAAATTTCCATCACGTTAGTAAAATATATATAAATATGTATAATTAACTATCGAAATAATATGAATAATGTTTAGTGTACATATTCTTTTTCCTTTAGATATTGTTCCGATTTTGACCTCCACTGTAATAGAATGTCAAAGAGCTGGATTAAAATATGCTGCTTTTAATTATGCTGCTATGTTGATGCGTCCGGAATACAGAAGCCAAATTGATGCTAAGTATAGTAAAAAAATTGAGGCAATTGTAAGAAAGCCACCAAAATCAAAAGATAATGAAATTGAAGAGGAACCTTTAACTCCATGTCCATATTGCAAGAGTAAACTTACAGAGACAGAGATTACTTGTGACAAGTGCAAAAATACAATACCTTTTTGTATAGCTACAGTTAGTGTTTCTGAAGCATGCATTTATTTTGAAATTTAATACATATATTGTGTTTTAATAAGACAACATTTCTTAGGGCCGACATATCATTGAAGATGATTTCACGGTATGTCCACAATGTGATTTTCCTTGCATAAGAAGTGAATTCTTAAGGTATGTATGACATCTTATTTTAAAGATAATACATATAATTATTTGCTGTTATACTAGGATTATTGAATCTGAAAATACGTGTCCAATGTGCTCGGAAAAAGTAGATGTTAACATGGTTTCATCTACTCTTAACATCCGTTCCTATCTCGATTTTCAAGAAGGAAAATCACCAGTGAGAACTTAAACAGTTTTAGTTATAATTTAATAGGAGTTGAAAAATATACAAATATTATTACTCCTATCAAACGGTGCCGTCCAATATGAGTACAACATAGACAAGTACAAGTAGCTTATATAAATTCATAGATTATTTATAAAATTTGTGCACAAATCAAATAATGACCATGCATGGAAGTATCAACAGTATATAGATATTATTGTCAATAAACTAGTCTCCAAGCAATTGTAATTGATTCAGTTCCCCCACTATTATTCTATCCAGATTAAACAATTTACTATCATCAATATATACGTATATGTATACACACGTACGCACGCGCCACATACACACACAGAAAGGCACATATACATGTATAATATATATCTAAAATAAACAATTGCTTGTACGAATATTTTGTAAGCATTGATAAGATATAATGAGTAATAAAAGCGACATCTAACGGGTTTCCGTCAATTAAACTCCGACTTATCAAGATTCCTTCGCATAAATAGAAAGAAACATGCACATACAACGAGAAAAATGACAACATGGCATGACTTTGAAAAATTAAACTCAATAATAACAATGAATGTCTTAATACACTAATAAACTCTGTAAGGCATATGTTTATATCTTTATTACGTTAAGTTAATTGAAATAAAATACATTAAAAATAGGAATTTATAATAATCTTATTGTTATATTTATTTTGAAAAAACTACCATTTTTATAAAACGCAATACAATATATAGGAAAAGTTGAACTATATTTCGAAAAAATTAAAAATGTTTTCATATTTTTATTAAAATAGGAGATGACTTTAATTCTGTATTTTATCATTTTTATTATTTATTCGTATATTTTTAATAAAAAGATATAATTTATTATGAGAATTTTTTATACTTAAAATTTAAAAAAGCAACATATTTGTACCAAATATGCAATTCAAATTTATATATATTGCGTTACAAATATTGTATCATTTTCAATCAAGTGTATGTATCATCGGTAGTAGTATTAAAATGCTGAAGACTCCGTTTTTATTGAAATAGCAATAATAAATGATAAAATATATTTAAAGTTATAGGTATTTACAATGATATATCTTTTCTTAAATAACGCAATTATTATAAAATAAACAGTAATTGTTAAAAATGTAGTTTTTAAGATAGCAGATCCTATTATTTTGGCTTATATTAAACAAATAAAAAGTTTTCTATGTAGTTCTTCTGTGCATGCAGATTAGTAGTGGGGCAGTATATGTTAAAGAACATAATCACATCAGTATAGGTGCTAGTTTAGCCAGCACCGGTATGTTAGCAGTACGCGATTGAGGTTGTACACGATACAGTTTAAGCAGTATATTTGACAGATACTGATTCATATTTTTCGAAAGATCATTTAAAATTTCTTCAAAACTATTTAATACGTATGTAACGTGAAATTAATCAATAGTAAGCAAAAAATATCATTTTATTCTCCTATCATCCAAGAACTGGTGGTCAAAATGGCGGAAAAGAATGACTCGCCGGGTTCCACCTCGACTTCTACAGGGCACGAAAGTCAACAACTACTTTCAGGTTTCATAGCTGAAATCGTAAAGAGTCCAATAAATCTCCTTTTAGTAGGCGTGATCGCCTTTTTGGTTTACAAAATAGTTAAAAGCAAGACGAAGGTTGAAGAGCCCGTAAAAGAGATAAAGAAACTGCCAAAAATACGACGTGATTTTACACTCGAAGAGTTAAAGAAATATAATGGTACGGGACCAGATGGACGAATATTAATTGCTATAAATGGTAGTGTTTACGACTGTACTCGTGGTGCCCACTTTTATGGTCCTGGTAAGTATTCAACTACTTCTAATAATTTATTTTACATGATAGTTGACGAATCTGCGTCGTACATGAAATTGCTATGTAATCGCAATTTTATGTTACGTACCTTAATTTTCCAGTGTTATTAATTAGCGCATAAATAAGTTCCATCGTCCATTGGTTATTATCAGTCTCGGCTTGTGTAAAAATCAATTTGCGAACATCATGAGACCGTGATAATTGAGAAAGCTATGAAATAATAACTTGTGAATGATTAACATTTCGTTCATTATTAAAATGCAACATTCACACACAATTTATGAAAAGATTTCAACCAACATATATCAATGATTATTTTGAAAAAATAATTATGATAATATTTAATATAACAAAACAATAATTGTTATATTTTCAGAATTATATTGCTTTATAGGACTATGATTTTTTATTAATTTTATTATAGGTGCTCCATATGAAGTATTTGGTGGGAAGGATATTAGCAGAGCCTTAGCAAAATTTTCATTGGAAACATCACAGGAATATGATGACTTAAGCGATTTGAAAACTGCAGAAATGGAGTCTATAAACGAGTGGAATGAACAATTTAAAGGTAATAGTTTTGTAAAATATTTTTTGAGAACAGAATAGAGAATTAAAGATAGCAAATTATAAGTAAGTATTGAAAACTTGGTACAAATACTTGTACTAGGATAGCTGCAATAAATCTTTATATAATGAATTTTAATATCTATAATTTAAAATCAAAATTCAATATTTTCTATACAGGGTATCGCACAATAAGTGCCGTTTGATATAACTATCAAATAATAGATGACAGGACAAAAATATAAGGGGACTTTTATTATTATTTTTTATGTAGAACGTCACTATGAAAAAAAATGTCTACCTTCAATTCTTCAAGGTTATACTAAGGTCGTCTCGTGTTTTTTTTAATAAAACTGTATATATGTAAAAATGTATTTTTAAATACATTATTCAATGCATTTTTTAACTCTCCACAAAAAAGTAATAAATACTTGGATCTAAAAATGATTAGTTTAGAAAATATTTTAACTTTAATATTGTAGAACTTATCATACCAAAGATTAGGAAAACATAAAAAAAAGGACTAAAAAATATTGAATGGTGTATAAAAAATTTATAGTTTTATCTAAAAAAAAACACCTTAGTATGATTTTGGAAAATTAAAGGTAAACATTCTTTTTTTCACAATGACATTCTAAATAAAAAATGATGATAAAAGTTTCTTTATATGTTTGTCCTACCATCTATTGTTCAATAGTTATATGAAACTGCTCTTATCATGGTATACACCCTGTATATATATACCTTTATAAAAGGTACAGTAATTAGAATACGTATTATTACTATATAGACATTATTTTCACATTTTTCCTTATTTTAGAAAAATATGATTATGTGGGAAAATTGTTGAAACCTGGTGAAGCACCTACAAATTATTCAGATGAGGAAGATGAAGGTAGTCAACTAGAGAATGAAGCAAAATCCAAAAATGATTGACTGCTTGATTGTACATCAAATGCCAAACAGTCTCAAAAGGATATTGCGCACACTCCATTAAAGAAATTCTTAAAATCGTGACTCATGAATATATTTATGAACATTTATCTGGATATTTTACTACGTCATAATGATATTAAAATAAAAACTAAAATGGTATCTTTTGACCGAGTTGGAAACATATAATTGTTCAAAACTGATGTTATGTGTGAAGATTTTTTTTTAGTATCCAATTTTTCAATCAATAAGGATACTTCAATAGTATAATGTTTTTATATGTGTACAAAAAGTTTCTTACACATCCTTAAAACTGGCACTAGATATAAGACAGAAATCTTTTGTGCTATATTCCATTAAATATCTTTGTTTATATTATCATTCACGTTTGCCACATAGCATTTGGTACATATAATATATGTATTTGGTATCTGTAAACTTTAATAAAATGATGTTATATTTGACATGCATTTGAGATTTAATATTAAGTTGATGCAATACATTGCATAGATATGAGAATAGAAAATATTTTCTTAACATAAAAACATTATGCTCTTTCTAAAAACAAAATGATACCATCTTGAAGTACAGAATAATTTCAGTCATTCATAGCTAAATCTATTCTGCAAAGAATAAATTGTAACTTAAATATCAAAATCTCAAGTCCAAACATTTTTGTATAAAAGGCAGCATTAAAAATCTATTTGGGAGTTTGTAAAAAGTGATACACGTTTACTAGTCTTTTTTATATGAAAAAAATGAGAGTACGTGTGAATCTCATTATAAATTCTAATACATTATGTAAATTGTTATTGTTTGGAAATTGGGATTTCTTAAAAATTGTTAGCATTTACGATACTGTTCATATAGTGCAAAATTTTTTATTATCGTGGAATTATTTATCAACTATGTTTTTTCTCTTTTTTTTTATAAATCTCCTTCATTCATGCACCGATCTTAAGAGAAAATAATCTCACATCCATGAAAATATGTACATGTATTAAGTACTTTTAAAAGATATGCATTTTCTCAATTATTTGTGCAATTAATTTTATTATAGGACTGATACCATTTCTGTAATAAATAAATAAATATATATATATATATATATTAATTGAAGTAAATTATAAATTTGAATTTTCAATCTGCGCTGTTATAGGAAAGAACATTTATTGATTGTATAATAAAAACGTTGTTAATATAAGCAACTACATATAATTTAATGAAATTTGTTTTGTTTATATGTACGAAGAAGACTACATCAAGTTTTCATTAACCTACGATTTATTGTAAAAAAAGAGAAGCATTTTATTATAATTTATATAAAAATTTGTGTATAATTTTTTAAAAAGTAACATACGAATGATACTCTATTATACATATGTATATGCTGCAGTGTTTTCAGTGTAAATAAGACAATTCTGTATCATTCCTACAAAGCAAAAATATTTATGAAGATTTTATAATTGTAACGTATCGCAAATATTTCGTATTTATAAGCAACCTTGATTTGTATCTTAAAAAGCAATATTATTGGAAAAACTATATTTTTGACTGTACTTTCTGTAATGATCATATTCACACAATCTTTGATGCAGTCATCATGTAATAAGAGACTGAGTATCGTGTGAAATTTATAAAAGCAATGCGTATTATATATACTTATTCCAATTTGTACAAAAACAAGTTTGCTCAGATTAAAAATTTAATCAAGTACTTGACCAAATTAAACATACTTTACTTTATATCAACATATATTATTCTCTTATATATTATATATGTGATTTTATTCTTAATATAGTTTCAATATAATTTATTAGAAAAGTTATTTCATATCTATACATGTTGTTGTACTTTTTCTGTTAAATGGAATGTATGTTTGTATGTTAATTATTCCAATAATTATTATACCGACCAGTTAGAATTTTATGTAAGATTATTTATAGAGAATGTTATGAATCAATATTAAAATGTACTTTCTGTTATTATTAAAAACGGAGTGGTTAGCTTGTAAGGTGCAGACTTAAGTACTCTACTATTACATACGATACAGGTCATATCAATTCTTGTTTATATTAAAAGCAGTAATTTCTTTCAAACAAGTTCCTAATTTTGACTTTGTACCTCCCATTTACATGATTTAGTTTCCTCGTCTTTCCACTTAGTTGCCAACCCAATAGTTTCATTGTGAGTGAGGAATGCGTAGAAAAGTGAAACACATAACGATTTCAATTCTATATATATTATTAAAAGTTGTTTTTATTACAAAATCCAATTTTGTTTTATTAACTTAGTACTGTGACATGTTTCTATTAAGAGTGCATTTTCAATCACATGTTACCTGTATATTACGAATATATACACAAAAATTTATTCGTGTATGATTAAATTATAGGAGAGCATTATTAAATTATACAAATAATGTTAAACATGTAACTCGAAACTTTTAATATTCGTTTTTGTGCGTAATATGTATATACATATATCATATTACACATATATTAATTTATTTTTTAAAATCGCACTTATTTTTTAAAATTACTTTATACTTTACACTCTTTTTGTTATTTATAACATTTTAAATATCTAATTTTTTCGATTTAAGAAGTAAAAATAAACACCAAGAAATGAATTAATTTTTTATAAAGATTTGATAATTCATATGGATTATATTGTATATATTTTTTATCATATTAGATATTTTAATATAAATAATAAAAGATAAAGATTATAGTTATTTAAAGATCGTGTTTTTCCACGGTCAGATTACATTGGTTCCGTTAAACGGCATGTGAAATCAAGGTTTCAATACTTATGTGTAAAACATGTTTCCTTACATCGTAAAGAAAAAAGATATTCTCGAAGTATCTTGAAAAATCAAGCCGAATATATAAGCTAGGATCATTTTTCATATACGATCGATTTCAGCGTGAACTTAAAGATTTATCTGTTCTAATCTGTTAATAATCTTTTCAGAATGAATGATATTGGAATGATTTGAACATAATTAACCTTGCTTTTCTAATCTATATGGATTATTGAGTTCTTCTCTCGACAATACAATGCCATAAAATACTCGTAGAAAATATATTTTATTTAGTTTTTTATTGTTATCCTTCATTATTATGACAATGCTCTACATTGTAAACTTCTTTCTTAAAATATATCTAACAAGACATATGAAGTGTAACAGACATCGAAATCTAAAAAATGACCTTGCTTCTTTAACCCATTACAATTATTTTATTACACAAATACACAATTAATAGATTGACATGAAATAGTCAGAATCTTTATGTTAAACTATCTCAAAATGAAGCATACTTCTCCGTTCTTTAACGTAAAATTGCTGTTTCTAATATATAATTTATTCATATTAGAGTGGGTAGTTCATAATTATTACAAATGACATAGGATGAAATTATATCGTATCGACGTTAAGATTACGAAAACTGAGTCCGTTATCATGGTAGATATAATGACGATATCAGTGAGTCAAAGCTTGCATGAAAATATCTCATTTGATTTGTAATAATCGAAATGCAATACTAACTAATTAATCCTTATTGTTCCTTTTGAATCGATTTTTTAGTACATTAATATATTGATACATATGTATCTTTATTCCTATTCCGTCGTACAAAAATATATGAACTATACGCAGTTAAATAGTGTATCATAATCTCATAGTCGCTGGTTACTTTTTTGCATTATAAAATATAATTTAAAGAAATAACTTTAAAAAATTAATCATTAATGGGTCAGATTAAACACTTATTGTGATATTTTGATATAATGATATTTTTAAAGAAATAATCTGATAGAATAGTGCTGTTAACTACAGAATTTTGTCTTCTGAATAGTTATGTAACATTCGAATAACGATTATCAACAGACACTTGTGACTTTTTTCGATCTATTGTACTGTGAATATTGTCTCTGTATGTAGTACTCCTTCGGAGAATAATCTGAGAATAATATTTAATTCAAAAGTAAATGAAATGTTTAAAAGAATCTTAATAAATCATTAATAATATACATATGTAAATATTTATTTAAAATATTAGACATAGGTGACTCTGAGTACCAGCCGTATTAAATATGGCAACCATAATCTATAAACAGGTTTCGACACTCGCTAGGGGAACAGTTCAAAAATTGAATTGTGTCACTTGTGAAAGGTCAACAAAGTCTGTATTCTTACGAGACAGTTAAATACCACTAATGTCTGCTAAGACATTCATAGCATGTCATGCATACGCACAACGAGAACCTTCTTGTCTTCCATGTTGATTTTTTACTAGATTTTTTGGATGATGTTACCTAGGCTTCGATATATGAGTGTTGAGAGACTTTATTTGAGACTTGTTTGTATGATCGTGATGACAACAGTGCGAGAGTTTGATTTCGATGCATAATCACCTCAATATTAACATAACTTAACCTAATAACCTATTCTGTACGAAGCTGGAAAGGAATCTCGTTGGATGGCACAAGGACAAAGGAGATAATACTCTCATCGTTCACCGTCACGAGTTGCTATATTGTTTTATTTGTATATGTGATACTTTTGACCATAGAATGCTTTCGGTCAACGCGCGTGCTTATCTCTATGATTGTATTGAGTTTATCAGAAATAACCAATCGAATCACGTTCTTTCCAGAAGACTTCTTCTCCTGTTTATAGTCAGTATGGCTCCCCACGCTTTTATGAAATGTTTATTTGGGTAGAATAGAGATGAGAAATTGGTTAATGGAAAGAGACAGAAGCAAGAGAGGTAGTACTATCTATCGCTTACCGTCATGCGTGTTATATTATTTTATTTGTATATGTGACACTTTCAGCCAATACACGTGCTTATCTTAATGATTGTATTGGGTCTACCAGAAATAAGCAATCAGATACGTGTTCCTATGCCTAATTCACGGTCATATAAGTGCTTTTTGAGAGACGCTAGGAAAAACCGTCCGAAAATTAAGTCATGATAGTCGTGAAAAATCAACATGGACGGTCAACAAAGTCCGCATTCGTGCGACACAAAACAAGAATGAGTAAAATGTCTCTATCTCTGTCTAAGATATTCACAGTATGTCACATATGCGCAGAATTCCTTATTCACGTTAGTTAACTGATTTCTATTATGGTATGATTAAGTTAACAACTTAATGTTCCAAATGAAAATGGGTTAGCTGACCTATCTGGATCTCAATCAAGTAATACAGATGACTGTGATACAAAATAGTATAGTTAGAGGAACCACAGGTTCCATTGACTCCACTGGCTCTACAAATGTTATGGGTGGTCAAGAAGGTGGTATGGCACAACAAACTCAACCACCTGTTCCAAGTCAAGCTCAACCTTAGTCTGGTGCACTAAGTGGAGGTCAACCTGGATCACAACAAGCTACTCAGGATTAAATAACTGGTATTGATACTTCAATCGGTAATTATTAGTTTTTGTATCTAAATAAATTTACTTCACTAACAAAATTTAACTAAGCAATATTTATATGTTACTGAGTGCTACAAAATCAATTGCAGATCCAAAAAAACACAAATTTATTCAGCAATAACTAGTTCTTCTACTTTATGCACATAAGTATTAACAATGCGCAAGTCAAGCAAACTGTGAAGTTTGGTCATGTTCATTGCCAGATTGTAAAACTATGAAAAATTTATTGACTGATATGACTGCTTGTCAAGCAGAAAAAAGCAGTACAATGTCAAACTGTAGATCTTCGAGGCAAATTATTAGTCATTGGAAACATTGCAATTATAACGTTTCTCATGTATATTTACCTCCGAAGTAATCAAACAAAAATAAAACTAATAAAATTCAAATCCATGAATCTGAAATAAGAAGAACATATCATGTGTTGTCCATGTCCTACTACAACAGCTAGTTTAGTAGCTGCACAATGTATTATTGAAGGAATGCCAACACCAAGCATATAAGGAGCACCTGGTGCAATAGGAAATGCTAAATTATCCCAACTTACTTCAAATATGTCTTTTTCTCTAAATTGTGATCCTAATACAGTTACAGTTGTTGGTAATCCAGCAATACCTACCAGTCCCATGTTTGCTGTTGTAACGACTGCCATTAATATACAACAGTCTGTTAATATACAGCAACTATTTGATTTGAATGATTCAGAACAACTTAGTGCTTTAAATGAAAATAGGTTAGCTAACCTTCAGCTTCCAGCTGGAATTCAACCAGGTCAAGTACAAGCAACATTAATATAGGAATGAAACGATTGGCGTTAAACTGCAACACCAGATCTTAGAAATCATTTTGTTTATAAATTGGTTCAAGCAGTATTGGTTCAACCATCTCACAATCCACGATCTATGTTCAAGAAAAAAATCCACAATCTTGTTCCATATGCAAGGAAAGTTGAAGATTACATGTAAGGAATGGAGAATTCCATATATTTACTTACTAAAAAAATACATACAATTCAAGAAGTATTGTAGAAAAGAAAAAAACGGAAAGAACAACAACAGTTACAAGTCCAGCATCAGCAACATCCACAACCTTTGAGAACTGATTTTCTCATACTGACTTATATACATAATAGTATTGGCAGCTGTTCTACATTAAAAGTTGATATATTAATAATGCTATGATGTTGTTGTGTTTTCAATTGTATAATTGTGTATCTAACTATATCCAATGATTGTGAAAAAATGGAGAATTAGTATTAATTAAAAATTTCTTTCGTTTATTTTTCTCAATTTACCACCTAATTTTTCAAAGCTGTTACAAAATAAAAATTTTGAAGAACATACACAACATTCATTCAGAATCATGAAAATTTGATTAAAAAATTTGAATATTTAGATTTAATTACAAATTTTCTAGATTTAATAAATAGATGTGAAAAAAAATTTGTAATTTAAGTATGTTGGAACATTAAGTGAATAAGTTTCAAAATCTATTTTTATAAGCCTGATTATAGTAAATAAAATTATGATTAATGAACAAGTAAATCATGTTTTTCATGGCAGTAAAGAAATTTGTTTCAATTATCAGAAGTACTGCCTGCTGGATGAAAATCGCCTAGATGGTTCTATATGTAAGTTATTATGTCTAGTGAGAACGATACAGATTTCAACCCTAAACTAAGGAACGATAATAAATACTTGACATCGTAAAAACTCTTATCAAAAAAAAGCATTTACGTATTACTAAGAGACTATCAAAGGGACTGTAATATTATATAGTCGACAGAAATAAAGCGATGTAAGCGACTAGCAACACTCCACAAAGAGTAAAGAGTCGCTGTCACTGAGATGGGTGGCTAGGTGGCTGCTGCCACGGCGTCATCCAGTTCCCGTCCCATTTCCAATTCTCCCTCTCTTCTCGCGTTCACCTCTTTCTTTACACAATTCTCTGTATCTGACACTATCGCGCGCGCGCGCGTGACCACACAACAAATACACGAATGAAAGAGCGAAAAGGAACAGAGCAGGAAAAGGAAGATGGAAGCAAGTTCACGCACAATATATGCGTGCAGCTAGTCGCGTGCCGTTCGCACCTATTCACGAGTCAGATTCTCTTTCTCGAAGAGAGGACGTTCTGCGCAACGCAATCTCCCGTCTCCCCACCTTGTATACATTCTTCCTTTTAACCTGTCGATCGAGAAATCCCTGGCCATCTTGTAACGATATCCCTTTGACACTCTCAGCTTTGTAAACGCATTAACAAAGTCGATTTTTTCTTTTCTCAATGTTGACGACATACGGCATATAAATCTTTGTCAGGATACGATATTGCACAGGTTGTTTGTTATGAACATAACCGCGCAAATATTTTAGTCTTGTAATTATAAAAGAGAAAGTGATTATTAGTACAAATGAATATATATATATATATATATGAATATATAGATATATATATATATATTCATATATATATATATATATATTCATTTGTATGTATATATATGTGTATATATATATATATATATATATTAATCAATCAATTAATGAATCAGATGAAAAGATATTTGAAGAGTACAATTTTCGGACAAATCTAAATTCTCATTATTTCGTAAGCCAACTAGTAATTTTCTAAAAAGGAGATGATTTGTTTACTATGAAAAAGAAACATACACAGTATATTTATGTATCGAATGATTTCGTTATTTGTATTATATAATATGTACTCGCAAAAATTCTGGAGGTTATGTCCAGTGGACATACTTATAGCCGTACAATTAAATATATTGTAGATATATTATGAAAATATTTCATTTCAACAAAGACGTTGCATATACGTAGGGTTTACGTTTACAAACGTTTTACTTATAGTACACTATAATGAATGTTGAAAGATTATTACTTTATATATGTAGAAATAAAATGAAATAACGTTTGCAACGTATATACAGAAAATAGTAAATTGCGAAAGGCTGAATGAATGTGTCTCCTCCAAAACTCGAATCGTATGAATCACTGTCTCAATGTTTTCCGGCAACAAGGAATAATTAGGCTAGGGCTTCTTTTCAAGTTCGTGAAGCCGTGAACACCACTAGAGCGGAGAATAGCGTGATTAGTTATTAAGTTATTTGTTTCGTTAAATTTGGCCAGGAACGTATTCTGTGCCAATAATGAATCTAATTCAAAGAGCATCTTACAACCACTATGCGAGACCGGCCTTTATCAAATGGCGGCAGAGGAATAAACGAAATTCTCGCGGCTGTTAGACCGGCGGCGTGAACGTAATCGCAGCGTTCGTGGCCTCGCAGCAGTTTGACCAATAATAGGGAACGATCATGTCACGTGATCACAGGGACCAATCAGGTGGCTGGACTAGCGTCACGGCGACTATACGGAACCAGTCGGACATTTTCTGACAAGCGTAGAAAAACTTCTCGTCAACAGCAGCCGCCATTTTACGTTAGCCGATACTCGTGCGGTGCGGAACTCTCGCGATCGCTTTTCCCGAGCGAATTTCTGTGGCGCGCGGTGGCCGCCCCGGAACCGACTCATTTCATCGTCTTCGCCTCCTGGCGTCCGTGATTGCCTCGAATGTGTGGGGAAAGCGAGCTGCGTCCGCGGTGATCATTCGCGCGCCCCGTGTCGCAGTGTGCCAAGGCGAGAGAAGAGGAGAGAAAGATGGTGCCAGCGGGCCTCGAGAGCGATATCGTTGCTGCGAGCTAGCGCCGTGCGCGCAGCCAGTTCGCCACACTCGAGTGTTTGACGAGTCGTGTGCGACCGACTAAACCGAATATAACGTGAGAACTCGTTTGGTAGTGGTGTGCATTTAAGTCGAAGTGGTGATCTTTGATATTGTGATACCGATAGTCTATCTAACTTCTCGGCCTGTCCCGTCGTCGTGCGAGTGGCCTGTGCGCCCATTGAAAAATTTACTGTGTGTGTGGGCTTTGAGCGCGGGGTTCGACGTACCCCCGACGATGCCCAATGGTTGATCGTGTACCAAAGCGTGCTCGGGGACGCTCCACGCGCCGCGGTTTTCATTGTTATTGTCATGCTTGTGAATACGCTAAGAGCTTGGTGAATTTTCGCGGCTTCGCCGAAGAGGAGGAAGCAGCAATAGCATCAGCAGCAGCAGTAATAGCATCATCAGCACTAGTACCGATCTTCTAGTGGCGTAGTGCAGCGTTTCGTTCGTGCGTGTATACCCGTGTATACGTGCCTGCGTGCGTGCCTGGCTGCGTGCGTGCGTGCGTGCGTGCGTGCGGTCGTCCTGACTTGCTGCCGCCGCCGCTTACTTGCTACCAGGAGTAAACAGCCTGAAACACAAGAAATAATTAACCCTGAAAAGAAACCATGGCCGACCACCTGGTGGACGGGCCACCGAATAAGCGGCCGAAGCTCGGAGATCCTTTCCAGGGGACTTCGGATTCCGCGGGTAAGTTCTTTCATTTTCATCACGGTGAACTTTCTTCGCAATAGAGTCGCTATCGCGACTAACCTTTCGGGGATGAAACGTCGCAAGTAGCACATATGCCGTTTTTCTAATTACATGATACCACACGCATATATCTTTCTTATTATATTAAGAAATATATGCTCTTCGATTTATCAGAGGCATACTGTCAATTCGTTGACGGATGCAACCTTTGAGCAAAATTGCCTACATGTCTCGATGCCTTCGTTTTTCAAGAAATGCACCCTTTTGTTATTGTCTTCGTATCATTTACCTTTATCGAAAACAATGTGTCTGATAGACAGTCTCTCTCTCTCTTTCTCTCACTCTTTTTCTCTCTCTTTCTTTTTTTCTTTCCACAACATTTTTGTATAGGTTTTGAACTTTCAGGAAAGTGCTGTGGTTGTAGCTGGTTATTATCGTTTCATGTTACAAGTGTTACATTATTACCCTTTGACAGGACCCTCTATTCGGATTATTCTAAAATTGTGTAATTTTTTTTTGTTTTGTCGTCGTATGTAACGATCAAAATCTCTATTTTGTTATTAGTTAACTGTTTGTAAACTAACCTAAATTATTCAAGAAATGCTATTGCGGAAATTGATTACTTTATCAATTGTCTAACGTGTTATTATTGATTCGATAAATTATTTTAAATTGTTCTACGAAATTGTATTTATTCGTATGAATTTATATGGTAACTCATGTCAGGAAACAGAGATATTTAAGAAATATTTTCAATTGTGACAGTATTGGCATTAATGAATGTTTTGGGTTGAGTTTTTATCTTACAATGTTTTTACATATTTTGATATTAATAAATCATTATATATAGTTATTTTTAATAAAAAATAAATTATTAGAAAGTTTCAAATTATTGGTTGTTGGAAGTTCGGGCAATTTGGATACAGTGTATAAATTTTGCTCAGAGGTTATAGAAATATTCCGTGTTTAAAAAAAAATTGTTTGTACTAAATAATCTGTAACTTCTGTCTTGTTGCACGTTCTTTCTATTATTTAAATTTAACCTAAACAAAATAATAGTATATTGTAAATTTTTTAGTTGTCTTTAAATTTAGTTCTCATTTTATTTTTGTAGTGCATGGCAAATGCATGGAAGTTTGAATAATTATTAAAAAAAGACATGCTAGCATGATTGATGCGCTAACCATCTCTTGATTCTTATTTTCTTTAAGTGCTACCTGATCACCTTAACAGTTTCTGAACTCAATAATATTTCATATAATCCCATATCGATTTGGTGATGACTGTGTCACTTAAATACTTGATGTATCAATCACGAGATTTAGTCAGGTTACACAAAGTGGCAGACATAGTCTTTCTTTTTTCTGGGTTATAGATATTAATTCATCTATACCAATTAGTTGCATTTGAAGGAAAATTTAGACTATTTCTGCTGCTTAAAAACTGTGATCCAGAAAGCATAGACAGTTTTTCCACAGTCTGAAATAAAAACTGTGATATATGTAGTGGGTATGGCGCCTCTAATGATGCACCATGCTTATACAAACTACGGGGGAGGTGGCAGTGGTAACATGCAACAAATGCAGGGCCCGCCACAACAGCAGCTTCATCTGCAACAGCATCAGCTGCAGCCACATTGGAACAACCATACCATCCAGAAAAGAAGTAAATATTATTACAAAACCCAGCAAAAAGTTCAAAAACATTAAGTCCAGCACTACAGAATTTGTTTATCTGTCCATTCATCTCATTTATTAGTATCATAAAGTTGTAAAATCATTTAATTACTTCCAATTTATGTCATAATTTATTGCTAAAATAATTCGTAATTTTTATATTATAAAAGAAATGTATATAGTTTTGGCATATTGTCACTATGGTTCAATAAAGTTGATTTATTGTCGTTATTTGTAAAACCCACAATGAACATGAGGATTATATTGTTTTACTTATATGATAGAATATAAGAACAAATAAATGTAATATATTGTCCTATAATTGAGAAAGATTTGTTTCTTTTATATGATACTGGAGAAAAATTGGATCACTCTAAGTACTATAGGAAAAAATGTTTTAATTTAATATATAATAAAAAAAATATAAATAGATATGCTGTGAGCTTCAAGCATTGAGTGGTAATGTAATATGGACATGCGACACACATGTACAGAGCTCTAAAACTTTATATTAGGATGAAACTGTATTAAATATTGTGTATAAATTTTTAAATAAAATGCGATTATATCTTCAATGAAATAAAGTTGAACTAGGTTGTTAGGTAGGTAACTATGATGTTTTGTACATAATCATTTTTATACTTTGTAGGTAATTGATATCATAATTGAAATAAACTGATTTATATTATTTGTAAGAGTTTCAGAAACTTTTTTTTAATGTTACAACATTAAAAAACATTCCGTTTACAAACAGTTGTAAATATTCTTTAGAGTGACTATGATTTCTTCGCATGACTGTCTACTCTAAAGTTTGCCATCAGTAGCTTTGCTGCTTTTGTAGTTTAGCACGTCTTTATTGTGAAGAAATTTTTATTCTGCTGTAGTATAAACTCCTTTAAGTTATGCTCACACAGTGTATGTCTCATGTCTTATTTATTTATGTATTTGTTTGTTTATATTTACAGTAGTTTGTGTAGAATCTTTTTGTTTTATTTTCTTTTTCTATTTTTCGTTTAAATTTGCATTTGACCCCTTTTTTCTCCGTTGTTGTATGGTCAATCATGGATAGTCAAGTAAGTTAAAGAGATATTTTTATATGACAAATGTATTTTTCAAACACTGTAGGCTAGTATAATTTGAACAAATACAAGCTTCTGCAATTTAAAATGTGATATGTACATAAATGTCATAAAATGTATTCATGTATGCATATATGTGCATGTATACTTACATGCAGGTATATTATACAACAAGCAACTACATTATATGGTAGTACGAAGATTTTACTATTAAATCTTTAGATAGAAGCTATGGTGACGGTGCTGAATCTTATCTTTATATCATTTACTAATGGTTTTTTGGTCTCTATGGTATATGTTACATTTAATATCATAATCTGACAATAATTTTCTAAACTGGTTATCTAGAGAAGTAATTATTCAGTTGTGATATCAAACTCTTCTATGAATTCTGTAGCCTAAAGAAAATCTTCAGTTTTGATGTACAACATGCTTGATATCATGGTTCAGTGGCTACACTTAGATATATTACTTTTGTAGTAACCAGTATCTTTTACAGCAACATACATACCATAATGCTGTTACTAATGCAAATTTTTATTCTCAGATTATATAACAAACACAGATATGTTTGATCTTGAAAATGATCTACCTGATGATCTGTTGTCATCGGGATCTTGGGGTTCTGCAACTGAAAGTGCTAAGCCACCAGCAACAGGTCCAGGCCCAGGGCAGCAAAATGGTGCGCTTGATTCAGAACTTAGACAACATGTACAGCAACAACAACTTTCACATCATCTAATACAACAACAAGTTCGTATATATAAATTATATGTTATGAATATTATGTATATATATACAAGAAACACTGCTTAATTTTGATCTTTCTTGAAACAGGGCAATAAAAATTTGGTTGCAAATTCTCTAGCAATGGCTGCTGGAACTTTGGGTAATAAAAGTCCAAATATGCAATCTCCACCAAATGTTTCTGTCTCTAAAGTAGTTGATCCACAAATGGTCGTGAGTCTGGGAAATTTACCAAGTAGTATAGCCAGTTCCTTGGCAAATAATCAAATGTCCATTGCAAATTCGATGGGAGGCCTTCAATCGTCAATGAGCATGGCTGGAAGTAATCCTACCATGTCAATGCCAGGTGGAATAAATTCTGCTCTTGTTATGACCAGTAGTGCCAGTGGAAATAACAATATGGGTGGAATGGCAGGTGGAAGTTTAATTGTAACCAACAGCTTGAATAAGCAACCTTTAAACACTGTGAGTTATAGTGAGATCAATATATATATGAAAACAGTATATCATATAGAATATACAATCTAAACATTCTATGATTTAGGTAACTATGATGGCCCCTAATACACAAGGAGGAATTCATCATCCTAGTGGGCCACATGGTGTTGCTCAAATGCAAAATGGACCTGGAATAATGAATACTAGAGCTGTAGCAATGCAACAACAGCAACAAGCTCATATGGTTGGACCAGCAAGGGGTCAAAGTCCACATCAACAAGTACATCAAGTTGGTATCGTAGGTCCTGGTCAGGGAGGTCCAAGAATCCAGGCACCCCCAAATATGACAAATATGCCAAATATGGGGCAAATAAGTGCATCAAGTCCTTATGGTTATGGTAATTATAGCAGTTGTATATGTAGTTGGTAAGTTTTAAGATATATTTAAATATACAATTCTTAATCAGGATCTCCAGCTAGTGGACAGGGGCCTGGTGTTACTGTATGTACTAACAGTCCTGTTGGAGTTGTTACACCACAACCAAAAGGAGTGGGAACAAACATGACTGCCATGCAAGGTAGTAGATTTGGAGGAACCGCAGGTCCTATTGGCTCCACAAATGTTGTGGGTGGTCAAGAAGGTGGCATGGCGCAACAAGCTCAACCACCTGCTCCAAGTCCAGCTCAACCTCAGTCTGGTGCACCAAGTGGAGGTCAACCTGGACCACAACAAGCTACTCAGGGGCAAATACCCGGTACTGGTGCTCCAGCTGGTAATTATTCGTTTCTATTTTTAAGTAAATTTATTTCATTAACGAAATTTAACTATATAATATTCATGTTACTAGGTGCTACAAAATCAACTGCTGATCCAGAAAAACGCAAACTTATTCAGCAACAACTAGTTCTTCTACTTCATGCGCATAAGTGTCAACGACGCGAAAGTCAAGCAAACGGTGAAGTTTGGCAATGTTCGTTGCCAGACTGTAAAACTATGAAAAATGTATTGACTCACATGACTGCTTGTCAAGCAGGGAAAAACTGTACAGTGCCACACTGTAGCTCTTCAAGACAAATTATTAGTCACTGGAAACACTGCAATCGTAACGATTGTCCTGTGTGTTTACCTTTAAAACAAGCAAACAAAAATAAAACAACAAATGCTGCTGCAGCATCTACGACACAACCAAATAGTCAACCAAATCCGAGTCAAACAGAAATGAGAAGAGCATATGATGCGTTGGGTATTCCATGTCCTACTACAACAACTGGTGGTTTGGTTGCTCAATGTGTAACTAGAAGAATGCCAACACCAAGCATGCAAGGAGCACCCGGCGCGATTGGAAACGTTAGATTAGCTCAACCTCCAACTCAGAATGCACCCGGTCAATCTGTAGTTGGCGCCGGGCAACAAGTTGTTGCTCCAAATGTTTCTCTCCCTTTAAATTCTGATCCTAATACAGTCGGAGTTGCTGGTAATCAAGCAGCACCTACCAGTGGTCCGACGCCTGCTGCTGCAGCGACTGCCGCTAATATACAACAATCTGTTAATATGCAGCAACTGTTTGGTTTGAATGATTCAGGACAACTTAGTGTTCCAAGTGAAAATAGGTTAGCTAATCTTCAGCTTCCAGCTGGACTTCAACCAAGTCAAGTAACAGCAACATCGGTGCAGGAATCAAAGGATTGGCATCAAACTGTAACACCAGATCTTAGAAATCATCTCGTTCATAAATTGGTTCAAGCAATATTTCCAACTCCCGATCCACAAGCTATGCTCGATAAAAGAATGCATAATCTTGTTGCATATGCAAGGAAAGTTGAAGGCGACATGTATGAAATGGCCAATTCAAGATCAGAATATTATCATTTGCTTGCCGAAAAAATATACAAAATTCAAAAAGAATTAGAGGAAAAACGACAAAAGCGGAAAGAGCAACAACAACAACAGTTACAAGCTCAGCAGCAACAACAACCACAACCTGCAGGAACATCTGGCTCAGGTTTAAGGCCATGTGCTCCCCCAGGTGTTGGTACCGTTCCACCATCACGACCAGTTGGAACAGTTACTCCTAGTTTGCGTAGTCATTCGCCAAGTATGACGCTTGGAAATTTACCTGCAATGGGTATTCCGCACAATAGAATGCAGTTTCCGCAACAACAACAAACGCAACAAGTACAGGTTCAGTCCCAAACGAATGTTCAAGCTCAGGCTCAAGCACAGGCCCAGGCTCAGGCTCAGGCTCAGGCTCAAGCTCAAGCTCAGGCTCAAGTTCAAGTTCAGCAACAAATGCAACAGCAGCAGCAACAACAGCAGCAGCAGCAGCAGTCAGGAATTTTGGTTGGCCCACCTGGTCCTAGTCCAAATGGACAATCAACTTCTAATCCCAACGTCGTTTCAAATCCTGGTCTCAGTCCTTTTGGACAACCACAAATGTCACAATCAAGTTTAACAACAACTACTACGTCTGCAACAACTAGTCAATTCCCAACCTCAAATGGTACTTCCGGTTTACCTAACAGTTCGCCTGTACAGAATCAACATCAATATTCTGATATTATGAAAGTTAGATTAGCGCAAGCTCAAGCAGCAATTGCGCACCAACATCAGCAGCAGCAACAGCAGCAGCCGCCATCACAACCTCAGCCTCAACAACAATCAAGTCAGTCACAGCCGCAACAACCAACAAGTACTTCGAATCAAAACGCTACGACAACCTCAATGCCGCAAACGCCGTCACCATTTAGCAGTATGCAACAACAAAACAATCAACAGCAAAATCAATTCAACAATAGTCGGCCTCTTTCGGTTTCAACACCTAACGATAATGGCATCAGTACATCAACTCCACAAACGATACCACCTCCTGCTTCTAGTGGCCCTAGTCCCAGCCCAGCAACGACGACAAATGGACCTCAATCTACAACTTCCACACCTAATACGCCACTAGTTCCTTCATTAATGACTCCAAATCAGACAGTTTCTTCCGCCAACCAAACACCACCTCATCCTGCTACTACACCATCTCCTGCCGGCCTTGCAAGTCTTGGAAAAGGCATGACATCTCAGGAGAGGGCTGCATTAAATGCACCGAGAACTTCGTCCATGTCTTCGCAAATGGCGGCTATTACAGCCGCTTTAGATCGTGATAATTCTCCTAGTCCACCAATGAATAACAATAAGGGAAAATTGGATTCTATTAAGGAAGAAAGTATGAAAATGGAAATTAAAACAGAAGATGGTTCTGAGAATCACAGAATGGATGGAGGTAAAAGTGTCAATAATGAGGTGTCTATTAAAACTGAAATCAAAACAGAACCAATGGAGGAAGGATCCAGTGAGAGTATTGTAAAAGAAGAACCTATTAGTATTAAGGAAGAACCAGTAACACCAATATCCAGTCAAGACACAACAACGCCAGATATTAAACCATTGGTTCCTGAACCGATACAACCAAGCGGAACGTCAACTGATAAGAAACGGTTGTGTTTATTCAAACCAGATGAGTTGCGGCAAGCATTAATGCCAACATTAGAAAAACTTTATCGCCAAGATCCAGAGTCTATACCATTTAGACAACCCGTCGATCCTCAAGCATTGGGAATTCCTGATTACTTTGATATTGTTAAAAAGCCAATGGATCTTTCAACGATCAAAAGAAAATTAGATACAGGGCAATACAGTGATCCGTGGGAATATGTGGATGACGTATGGATGATGTTTGATAATGCATGGCTTTACAATCGTAAAACATCACGTGTTTACAGATATTGTACAAAGGTATGTTTATTTCTGAATCATCCAATCAGTGTGTACTGATATCAATAATGACTTTCAAATTACAAATTTTTTCATTGATTTTAGCTTTCTGAAGTCTTTGAGCAAGAAATAGATCCTGTAATGCAAGCCTTGGGATATTGCTGTGGAAGAAAATACACATTCAATCCACAAGTACTATGTTGTTATGGAAAGCAGCTTTGTACAATACCAAGAGATGCAAAGTACTACTCCTATCAAAATAGGTCAGTAATATGGAAAAGTTTTAGTCAAATAACTATGTAAAACAAGAACATTCATTTAATAATTGAAAAAATAGTCTCTCTCTGCATGAAGGGAATATGTTAGTAGGTTTTATCTCCATCTTGCCCTTTAGTAATTTCTTTACTTAGATAATTAGATATCTTGTTAATGACTTCTGTTGCTCCCAGCTGTCTTCAAAGATTACTGACATTAGCTATACCTGTTAAGTTTTCAAAGTTCAAGTTGCCTTTAGGCGCATTCGACTTTCATGGTACATTTTTATTTATAGAAAAATGTTCTATAATCGGATACGCCAGATTAACTTGGCAGGCCAATTAACCTGTTTCGGTTATATCAGTCGATACAGGCCAGTCTCCTGACCAACACGTTTCTTTTTTTACGTTTTTTATTACAATTATGAAACATTTGTCAATGAATGCATTGTTTCGTAACGTTCGCACATATGAAGTTGAAATTTTATTACGCATATACTTAAGGGATATAAAGCTTTCTATAGTCATCCTTAAAATTAGATGCTTTTTAAATATATATTTTGCTTTATAAATAATATAAAATGTACAAAGGAATTTTTAACCGAAGGAAGTCATTTGTTAAATACTCTTCAGTATATGCAACTAAGTAATTTATGTATATATTATATGGTGTCTAACTATGGCACTCTTCTCTTCTTTGTATGTTACCTTCGCTCTACCCATGGGTTGCGCACGCACACACAAATCCTTGTTTGCTGCTTGCTTCTTGTGTTGCCCGCGCCCCTTGCTTCTTTCTGACTCTACTACTTCATGCCACGAAAATTGATACTTGGAAATTGGACGATTGAAATTGGATACCTGACATTTAAAATGAAAACATAAATAAATGTAAAACAAATTGTATTTGTGATAAATGAAAAATAATGAAAAAAATATGTTCATTAAATGAAATGATGACTTCCTACAATTTAAAAATATAATGAAATGGATCCAAACATATTACAATTGGCAAAACACTACTTGCATGTGTATAATTGCAAATACAAACAAATATTTATCAAAATTGGATACTCGACATTTGGATACATCGATTGGGGCGTGAAAAAATTGATCTTCGTATGATGCACGCATGACATTGACGAATTGAAATTTGGATCTAAACACTATTGGTTGGAACAGTAGTCTAAAGGCATATGGTCTTGTTTCCGACAGATACACCTTCTGTCAGAAATGTTTCAACGACATTCCTGGTGATACTGTGACGTTAGGAGATGATCCAACGCAACCACAAACGTAAGTTTTGAAATAAATATATCATCAATATTTGTTATATATATATATATATATATATGTCGGGTTTACATTAGAATTAGGGTTAGGGGCGTGAAGCGAATCTTCGTTTGGATTACACGTCGTCGTTATGCAATAGAGAAGACATTGGCTAGTGCAAGTACGATTACCATAGAACCGGACAAGTAACCGTGGTAATTAGATACTCGAGAAACTAATGACAACGATCCTAGGTTCAATAACGAATCCGCGGACAACGGGACGGTAGTCATACGCACTCGCAAAAATCTAAGTCGGATTCTGTGTTAATATTCGCTGACCGTAAGGCGTTAATCTTTTTGTCGATGAGACCGCAAGCGAGAATGACTTTCCGTCCCGGTGATACCCCAGAGGAAAACTATGACGGGGTGTGTCTAAGGACACGAGATCATCGGATTCGTCGGGGACATCCTACGTTCGGAAAGTGAAGGA